TTACTCAGGGTACTTTTTTGGGGTCCCCTCTTTTCGGAAACTCCTACATGCCTGCACTTGCGAATGGAAGTTACCTTGTTACGGGCTCACTGAAGCATTCCGTGAAAGTAATGGAGAAGCCTGGTTAGTTGCCAGCCGTCTTCTTTGGGGGTTGCTGGATATATATATATATATATATAGTGTACAATGCCCCAAGACCCTACTCTAATCAGTAAGGCCACTATATGAAAATGAAACCGGGTCAAGAGTGGAGCAGGGATAGAAGGAAAGACACTACTTCTTCTAGTCGGCAAGGCCCCTATGCTTTATTTATACGAACTTAGGTCAAGAGTGGAGCAGGGATAGAAGGTTTCGTACTATCTTAACTGGTTTTGGCGTCCTTGGCCTGCAGGCTCCAAGCCTGGCGGCGCGTTTAGGGCCAAGTGAAGTCTGTAACTGAAAGAAGTTCCATGTCACTAGTCGGCATATATTCTAGATGTGTCATGTTTCGTTCAGTTACAAAATCGTGAACTTGTTGCTGGTTGTTGAAGGTGGCAGTTGAGGGTAAGTCGGAGATGTCAGTAAGTCCGCAGTCATCATCACAAGATCTGTGAGGCCGAGATCGCCGCACCCGAAGCTTTCCAGATCGCTTCGGCCCAGCCAGCAGCGACCTTGCACGGGAAGGGTGATTTTGAGGCGAAAGGAGAGACTGTGGCAATGCCAAGTAGGCCATGCCTTCTGGTACTAAGTCAAACTTAAGTTGCACGATATGATACAGAGTATGAGCATGCTTCTGCGATGCTGCAATTACACATCACTCAGGGCAGAAGCACAAGTGTGTTCATAAGTTCAAAGATGGGTCGTAGCCGAACCTTCATTTGGGAGTTTCCGAACATAGGCGACCCTAACATAGTATCCTAAATAGTAGGATCCTGATTATAAGGACCCCCAAATTGAGGTACCCCTATTTTTCGGAAACTCCCCTTTCATCTCATGGCACTTGCCTTCCTTTCAGCGGCACGACATGTTCCCGCGCTAGACGTTCCAGGATGCTGCGCTGTCTCTGTGCTTAAACTGGGCATTGCAGCTTGTGGCACTGAACTTTAAGAAAAGGTTACATGCCCATGCTTACGCCATGTTCAACAACGAGAGATCACATAGCCGAAGCACTGCAGTCCTGATGGACAGACTTGGAGGATCCGGCACACATGGTTCACGACGGGTCGGTCAAGCTGGACATATTCTCAATCCAGGCAAACCTAGCCTGCACCTTATAGGACTCTTGCAACACTCCGTTCGAAAAATCCAAACCTAACTCCGTCAAACCCGTATACACCCACAAAAGCCCTTGTATAGCCACCTTGTATACTGCATTCCATTATGTAGTGCTGTGTTCATCTGTAGTCAAGAAAACAAAAATTCTGCAATCCCTCGAGCAAGCCCCTGCCCAGGTGACCGCGGAACAGCTCAACGCGGACACTGGTGCCGGGCCCCCCGGTCACTCCGACAGTCTGGTTCTTCGTAGGGAATAGGGGAACGGCCTTAAGGTTCCTTTATTAAAGGCTCCTATAAAGTTAAGGGATCTATAAGTTTAACTGTAATCTGTCTGGTTCTTAGTAGGGAATGAGGGAATGTGTTATTGGGACTACTCTTGGGGGGACCTTAAGGGACGATCATAGGGATCCATTCCCCCGAATCCCTACTAAGAACCCTACACCCCTATAGTATGACCCTTATAGTAGCCCTTCTCGTAACCCTTATAGTAACCCTTAAAGGAACCCCAATCCCTACTAAGAACCAGACAGCTGAGACTCTGAGGCTTTCCGAGACCTCGGGAGTAGTTACCATACTTGCTAGGTAGGCCTTTTGGGACATTTTATATTTTCCCTTATTGGGCATAGTAGGACCCTATGTACGAATATTTTTCAGAGGCTTTGAAGGGCCAACCTAGTTACCATATGGGCTTAAGAGGATCTTGTTTACAAATATTTTTCAAAGGCCTTAGAAGCCCCACCATACTTGAATGTTTTGTTGGACCCTGTTCCTTAAGGCAACCATTGAAGAGTAAGAATCTATGTTCTTTTGCCCCTGGTTCCGTCACAATCCAGTTTCAGGCTTCGAAATTTAAGGTTTCGGGTTGAGGGTCAGGGCTTAGGGTCGGGTGTTAGCACTGGTCTTAAGACTTATAGGCATTGGGCCAAGGGCTTTTGGTCCTAAAGTTCAGGAATTTAAGGGCCCTTCCATTGGGCTCTTCTAGGGGTAAAGGGCTCCCCAACAGCCTCTGACGATACGAGTGTTGAAGATCCTCAGCTTCAGTGCAGATCGTAGCCCACAGGTCTGGACCATGGCTTGAATAGGGCTCTCGTGTAGAGTGTACACACCTGTCGGTCGTACAAGACGTGTCTCTGTGTACTCGAGGGCCAGTCCCGGCGATCCGAAGACTGTTTGCTTGCTGCGAGGTGCTCCCCCTCCCCGGCTTGGAGGATTTGCTGCGATCCCTGCATGTTTGTGCCGTTCCCTGCCGAGACATAAGTTGGGTTTAGGGTTCCGGGCTTTTCAATAAGGCACAACGAGATGGGAGTGTGATTACAAAAGAGCATTGCGCAGTACTGACTCTTCTTGCTCCCATGACTCTGCACAGCGGTGTGCATTTTTGTCACCCTCTATCAACATCTACGGCTTCTTGGGGTTTGAGAGTGTAGATCGTCGGGCTGCCAGAGCGTCTAAAGTGGAGAGTCAGACAGACAATAGATCCGCATGTCCGTGGCGAGGTACGTACTTTGCACGTCTGCGAGTGGTGCCAACCCTAAGCTAGACCCTACATCGTGCTGCGCGTGTTGTCTATTCAGAGCACATACGGCTAACCGCACATCATCAGAGGTTCTATTGATCCTGTAATCGGTTCATGCTAGTATACTCTAATGGGTTGCAGTGTTAAAGATCTCTAACAGGGCATTATTGAAAAAATCAACGTACTGTGGCAGACTATGTGTTCTGGTTGGGTCTGCAATTGGCAAAGACAGTTCACGTTTTATGGTAGAAGACTGTGTGAATAGGACAGATATCAGACGAAGCAATGCAATATCTTGGAATCGAAACCAGTGGAACGGAGTTGAATAAAATACAAAGCAATGGGATACAGTACAACATAACAAAAGGCATTATGAAATCTAGTTAGAGTGATGTGACCTGATGTGATATCATGTCATATATAGCAAGAAGGAGGCTATTCAAGCATACAAAGAACGGCAAACTCCACTCAGAATCAGGGGCCGGTCATCGCCAGGCTCCTCGACATGGTTGAGACAGCAAGCTTCCCCATCACAAAAGGCTGGGTTCTTATTAGGGGGTGTAAGAAATCTAAATTAACATAATAAGGAAGCCATAGTATTTACTATGGGCTATTATTAATGTGGTAACTTAGACTAAACTCCTTTACAGGAACCAAGACGGGCTTTCAGGGTTCGGAGTCTTCGGATGTTGGAGTCTCGGGGTTGGTTTCGGTGTTCAGGGTTCAGGGCTTGAGATCTCGACAGGGTTTAGGGTTTAGTGTTTGGGGTTTAGGGTTTAGGAGTGCAGGAGGGCGGCGTTCTGAATAAATGGCTCTTAGGGTTTGGGAGTTTTGGGGTTTGGGGTTTGCGTGCTTGGGCATGGGCTAGCTGTGTCTATTCCAAGAATTATAAGAAGTTACTATATTAGGGTCCCCTATTTTCGGAAACTCCCTTTTAGGTTGCACTGCCTACTTTGAGGTCCTTCTGAAGCATGGCTTTTCATGGAACCTGCACCCGTACGGGTCATGCTGAGATCTGACACTATTGTTCAGTTCTATACTTTCCCGAAGGCGTTTGAGCAAAGAGTTTCCTCGTAGTTATGCCGCTGTGATACAAGACTTCTATAGATGTTTAGATGTGGATCCATGATGCAGGATCTTCGAAGGAAGCTTGCAAAAGTCGAGCTTTTCAGAGGCCTGGCATTGCTCAGCGTCACAACGGCGGAGGTCCTGGCGCCAGGTGACGAGGCTCCGGCAAGGGAGGGGGGCTCCCAGAAGCACCAAAAAGTCCCCCCGATTGGTGTTACTATGTGCTTGCTATGTGCTATGGCGTCTTCTAGTCTGTATAGCCAGTATTCTACGGCTTCGTTGTTTAGGGTGTCGGGTGTAGGAGCCCTTCTAAGTTGAAGGATTCCCTGGTTTCAGGGCTGCAAGTCGCAACGGCTCCGGAGTGCCTGTGTGACCGTTTTGGGGAGGGCTCTCGTCTGTCATTGTCGCCAGGGTTCCCTAAACCCTAAACCCTATTATTACTAGTACTACTATACTTACTGTTGTTACTATCATGACCATTATAGCTAGAATTACCATTATTACTATTACGACTGCTATGACAGTTATTCCTCTTTTTGCTATTATTTCTACGATTACTGAGGTACCCCTAAGTTTCGGAAACTCCCATATCGATCTGTTAGTGGCTGTGGAGAGGTGAATAAGAGTTGCGCAAGGTCGGCCTATTCACTTTGGAGGCTCGTTTCGGAGTTTCAAGAAGACTGGAAGGGTTCAGGGGTACAGTTATCACGTATTCCTTGCTTCAAGCTTGTTGGAGTTTCATCATCTTTGCAGGGGACGGACAGGCTCGAGGCTGAAGCAGCTGCGGTGGAGGGCTGTCGAGGGTGACCATATGGCTTCTTCTGGACTGTTGGCTTGACTGACGGCCTCGTGCCACTGCCTTTCGACTAGAGGGCTTTACTTACAGGCGGCGCCGAGAGTATGTATTTTGTTCAGGATTTCAAAAGTTTCGCTAGCGTACGTTTTTGGAGCCACTTTTAGGCCACAGTCCATATTGGGTTCGCCGGGCACATGAACTGTCTGGAAAGCCGTCTGGCAGTCCCACACACAACCTAAGCAAGCACATGCAGCCTCAGGGTTAGTTTCGGCCCTTCTCGGGGTCTCCAGGAAGTCCTGGCAGGGATCCTTCGAAACACTGGAAAACTCTTAGGTGAGCCTTTCTTTAGGAAGCATCTTTCTGCAGGCGTCTGCGATCTCCGTGACCTTCTCGCTGGTCAGCGGCCAAGCTTCCAGGGCCTCTTCCGAACCCTCAACCCAAAGACCCTAAACCCCAAGGACTAAATCCCATAAGATGCGAACTGTAAAACGCTAGCTACAAGGAAGTAGCTTGGGGACCCTTTGAAAGTTCCAATGAGGGTTCCGTTAAACGGTTGCATGAAGTTTGAGGCTTGGGGCTTCGGGTGTCCAGGTTTGGCGGTGTTTGGTTTCACATGGGGGGCTTATTAGAACTCTCCATGCTCGGGTTCCAGACGAGTGTTGTTGACAGAGCTCCTTGCGAGTTTAACAAGTGATGTAACGGTTCTAGGAAGGCTTGCTGCGAGTTGCAGTCACAGAAATCCGGCAATCACAAGAAGTCAGCTGCAAGATTTGATCAGAGCCGTCACGGGCCCAACTTGCGACTTACCACAGCAGGTGGTGTGATAATGTCAATGGCTCCAACCGGGACTGCATCTGCGATGTTTCTGCAGGTTGTGGTATCGAGTATCACTTGACAAGCCGACCACGGCAATATGTCCCGGACTGCCCGTCCCCAAACATCGGTTGACACGCTTAGCGCAAAACCGTAGTTACGAGTCTAATTGCAGGTCAGGCGTTTCAACTCTAGCGATGACTGTGCTAGATGTAGATATTCTCAAGGCTGACCTAGAGTCCAAATGGTTTTCGTGAAATGGTTGCGGCAAGTTCAGGCTTCGGCGCACCACGATCCCGCAACACGCTTTAGAAGCACGGATAGGCTCGGTACTCTAGTCACTCTGTTCGTGTTGTAGGATACTTCGAGGTTCATGGGTAGTGAAAAGTGGGTTAGTTATAAGTAGGGTAACTATGCCTGTAAGACATATTAAGAGACTTATCACCCCACTCATAAAACTACCCTGAAGCCCTAATCCCTGAACCCTAAATCCCTATAGATCCCTTAAAGGGACCCTTAAAGGAACCCTTATAACCAACTTATAACTACCCATGCACCTCCAAGTGGGGGGGTAGGGGGTGGGGGGGTAGGGGACTATACTTCCTTAAATAGGCCTTGTTATGTCCTTATTGTAGGCATTAAGGCCCCCTACCTCCCTTCGGCAGCTTATGATTCAACCGATCTCCAAGCCCAAGCAGCCGTTGCCATCAGGTGGAGCCTGCTTTCGCTGGCGATGTTATAAGGCCATTTCCTGCATACTTCCTTGGGGGCTGAAGGGGTTTAGAGTGTGGGTTTGTGGGCGAGAGCTTAGGACTACGGAATCCCGCTCAGTTTCCGAACCGTGATCAATGGCAGGTTTCCTTTAGGGCCTGGGGTTTGGAGTTTGAGGCTGCTGGGGCTTGATTTGGCGAGGCTTGAAGCCTTCAGGGGTTAGGGGGTAAGGGAGTTTGAAGCTTTTCGGGTTTAGCATGTAGGAATTGGGATGAATGAGGATTGCATTCTTCGAAGACTCAGACAAAGGTCCCGTAGGTTTTGCAACTCTCTTGGGTTCTGACAGGCTTGGCTGAGGCTTTCGCTGTGAGGCTTACCCTCCCTGCGCCCGTAAAGTAAGCCCCAAAGGGAAAGGACGCTACGGAGTTCTGTGGAAGACAGCACTCGATGGAGTCTCAGGCGGCCCCTATAGGGGTTAAGGGTTTAGGGTTTAAGGTTCTGCGGAGTTCCCGTGGTGATCTTTAGAGCAGGGTGGGGTATCTCTGCAAAGACAATAGACCCTTTGGTCAGCGCTCCAAGTCATCACCTTACCTGCCCCTGCGAAGAACTCTCGACCCTGCGCTAAAGTCTTTGCAGCCCATTTAGGAGTGTTCCTGCCCGCTACTCGTTTGTTGGGTGCCTCTAGAGTGCACGGTCAAAGTTGTACTGTAGGGAACTTAATAAATGGACTAATTAGGGTTTGGAGGGTAGCATTATACTGTAATTATAGACAGGAACCCCAAAGATAGTACTTATTGGTAGTTATTCAGTTCCCTGCAGTAGCCTCCCCCCCGTCCCCGTGGATCCTCACGCCTCCCGCACGCTGAAGGCTTACGGCTCCGTCGGCAGCTCAGAGACCTGCTTTCGTCAGTCAGGTGGAAGATAGTAGGGTTTACGTTAGAAGGGGCTCCCACCATGTAATAGTGGTATAATAGGAGTATAATAGGGCCCTAATATAATCCTTTTATAGGTTTAGGGTTTACGGTTTCGTCAGTCAGGTGGAAGATAGTATCATGAACCCACTCTACTTAGAGGCCCAGGGGACTTAGTAAGTAGGTTATAAGTAGGGTTATAAGTACCCTAAATGGAGTTACCCTAACTGTACCCCTACTTATAACCTACTTACTAAGTCCCCTGGGCCTCCAAGTAGGTATGAACAACTGTCATGTCGACGTGTTTTATAATCAGAAAAGTTGAGATTCGATTATTATCTTCCCGAATTACAGTACTCTTTCAAGCAGTCTTTCAGGGTCGTCCTTCAGAGGTATGGGCGTCGGTCCTGCAAAGGATCTTCTGAGAATGTTGTCGTTCAGCCCCAAATCTTCCTCTGGGATCCTGAATCACAGCTGAGCCGCTGCAGTAGAGAATGGATGTTGCGGTGTAGGGTTTAGGGCTTAGGGTTTAAACTCCACCCAATGCTGCTAGGCTGCTCCTGCGCAGCACGCCCACCTCAAGCAGTTTGAATGCTCGACCCGAAACTCCTTTCAGCACTAAGCTCTAAACCCCGAGAACTGCAACCGTAAGACCTAAACCGTCAACCCCAAGAAACCCTAAACCTAAACCCGAACCTCAAGACCTGGCAGTGCCATTCGGCTCTAAGCCTTAACCCCGACTTAACCCCTAGACAAAACAGTTAGGGCTTACAGGGTTTTGGGTTTAGGGAACCACAACCTAGACCGCAAAACCCTACTAAACCTTAAACCCTAAACCCTAAATCCTAAACCCTAAACCTTAAACCCTAAACCTTAAAACCCTAAGCCCTAAACCCTAAACCCTAAACCCTACACCCTAAACCCTAAACCCTACACCCTAAACCCTAAACCCTAAACCTTAAACCCTAAACCCTAAACCTTAAACCCTACACCCTAAACCCTAAAACCCTAAACCCTAAACCTTAAACCTTAAACCCTAAACCCTAAACCCTACACCCTAAACCTTAAACCCTAAACCCAAAACCCTACTAAACCCTAAACCCTAAACCCTAAACTGCTAACTTGAAGCCCAACACCGCCACCTCTGGCGCTGCCGAAGGCCCGGATACGACTTCCGGGCCGATCCCCAGGGTCAGGCACCGGAACTGCGAAGACACGGTTGAGGATATGAATCCTAGGGTTCCCTTTAAAGGGATCTATAAGGATACCTTTCTAAGGGGTTGATGGTTTAGGGCTTTTGGGGTTTAGGGCTTTTAGGGTTTAGGGCTTTTAGGGTTTAGGGCTTTTAGGGTTTGGGGCTTTTGGGGTTTGGGTTTAGGGTTTGGGGGTTTAGGAAGATACGGTTGAGGATATAAATCCTAGGGTTCCTTTAAAGGGATCTATAAGGATACCTTTCTAAGGGGTTCCTTTAAGGGATCCATACGGGGGTTTAGGGTTTAGGGATGATGATATAAATCCTGCATGACCCATATAAAGGAAGATGCCATAATTCGCATAGTTTAGGGTCCTTAAGGTAATGCAGGATTTCTATCATCAACCGTAACTCCCAAGCTCACATGGGGAATTTCCGACAATCGCGGACCCTAATATAGTACCCTGCATAGTAGGATCCTTATTATTATAAGGACCCCCAAAGAGTATAGGTACCCCTTGTTTTCAGAAAGTCCCACATAATATAGGGGCCTAAGTAATTAAGAATAGGTTAAGGATCCTCAGGGGCGTGTGTAAGGGATCTATTGTAGGGTTTAGCCCCCATCGGCTTAAACAAATACCAATACCATTGTGGGGGGCTCCGTACCATAATTCTAGTATAACATACCCCCAAAACTATACTAATTATTAAGGGCCCTATCGTAACTAGAATAGGGACCCTGTAGGGATGTTTAGACCATGGGCTTCAAGAAGGCTTACTTACTATCATGATTCCACGGTCTTGAAGTCGTTTGACGAAATACATGTTCCATTCCTCCGAGCTCCTCTTATGATTCGAGTATAACATACCACACATTCCGATGAAGTTACGAAGGCCCCGGTATCAATTTGCTTTGCAGCTTACATTTCAGGGTTTAGGGTTTATGTTCTATTGTTGGGATGTAGTTGTCAGAATATTGTGTTCAGGTACACAGCTTTCTGTCGAGTTCAAGCTGCGACTACGGTCGAGGCTTTTGATAAGAAATCGTCCTTCGGAAGCGAGGGTCAGGAAATTTCTTAATCTGGCAGTTCGGAATAAGAAATTCGGGATCAGTCCAGACTCTGGAAGAGACTTTCTTAAAGGTGGGTTTGTATTGCGTGGTTTGGTCACTAGGATTTGGGGCTCATTTAGGATTTGGGGCAATTGCCAGGGCTCTCCAACGGCTCATTTACAGCGAAAACGCGCCTAGGACAGTGTTCTAGGTTTTTCGGCTCATTTACAGCGAAAACACGCCTAGGACAGTGTTCTAGGTTTTGTCGCTCTCCAAGGGCTCATGTATAAAGAAACTAGGATTTGTGGCATTTTCCCAAGGGCTCATTTACAGCGAAAACCTACCTAGGACAGTGTTCTAGGGTTTGGGGCAACTGCCAGGGCTCTCCAACGGCTCATCTACAGCGAAAACGCTCCTAGGACAGTGTTCCAGGTTTTTCGGCTCATTTGCAGCGAAAACGCGCCTAGGACAGTGTTCTAGGTTTTTCGGCTCATTTACAGCGAAAATGCGCCTAGGACAGTGTTCTAGGTTTTTTTGGCTCCCCAAGGGCTCATATACAAAGGAAATAGGATTTGGGGCATTTTCCCACGGGCTCATTTACAGCGAAAACCTACCTAGGACAGTGTTCTAGGGTGTAGGGCAATTGCCAGGGCTCTCCAACGGCGCATTTACAGCGAAAACGCGCCTAGGACAGTGTTCTAGGTTTTTCGGTTCATTTACAGCGTAGGACATTGTTCTAGGTTTTTTTGGCTCTCCAAGGGCTCATTTACAAAGGAACTAGGATTTGGGGCATTTTCCCAAGGGCTCATTTACAGCGAAAACCTACCTGGGACAGTGTTCTAGGGATTTGGGGCAATTGCCAGGGCTCTCCAACGGCTCATTTACAGCGAAAACGCGCCTAGGACAGTGTTCTAGGTTTTTCGGCTCATTCACAGCGAAAACGCGCCTAGGACGGTGTCCTAGGTTTTTTTGGCTCTCCAAGGGCTCATTTACAAAGGAACTAGGATTTGGGGCATTTTCCCAAGGGCTCATTTACAGCGAAAACCTACTAGGACAGTGTTCTAGGGTGTAGGGCAATTGCCAGGGCTCTCCAACGGCGCATTTACAGCGAAAACGCGCCTAGGACAGTGTTCTAGGTTTTTTTGGCTCTCCAAGGGCTCATTTACAAAGGAACGGATTTGCCCAAACCTACCTAGGGACAGTGTTCTAGGGTGTGGAGCAATTGCCAGGGCTCTCCAACCGCTCATTTACAGCGAAAACGCGCCTAGGACAGTGTTCTAGCTTTTTCTGCTCATTTACAGCGAGAACGCGCCTAGGACAGTGTGCTAGGTTTTTGGGGCTCTCCAAGGGCTCATTTACAAAGGAACTAGGATTTGGGGCATTTTCCCAAGGGCTCATTTACAGCGAAAACCTACCTAGGACAGTGTTCTAGGATTTGGGGCAATTGCCAGGGCTCTCCAACGGCTCATTTACAGCGAAAACGCGCCTAGGACAGTGTTCTAGGTTTTTCGGCTCATTTACAGCGAAAACGCACCTAGGACATTGTTCTAGGTTTTTTTGGCTCTCCAAGGGCTCATTTACAAAGGAACTAGGATTTGGGGCATTTTCCCAAGGACTCATTTACAGCGAAAACCTACCTAGGACAGTGTTCTGGGATTTGGGGCAATTGCCAGGGCTCTCCAACGGCTCATTTACAGCGAAAACGCGCCTAGGACAGTGTTCTAGGTTTTTCGGTTCATTTACAGCGAAAACGCACCTAGGACATTGTTCTAGGTTTTTTTGCTTCGCAAGCGCTCATTTACAAAGGACCAGGTTTTGGTGCATTTTTCCAAGGGCTCATTTACAGCGAAAACCTACTCAGGACAGTGTTCTAGAATTTGGGGCCATTGCCAGGGCTCAGAATCCTTTACAATAAAATTTCAATCCACAATCCAGAGTCTGGATTTCTAAATTTGTTCCCGCTTCAGACTCTAATTTCTTAATTGATAAAATTTCTTATCGCAGTACTTCACCGTAGTAGCTCCTTCACGTGGGTGGTTGTCAAAATTAAGGTCCCTTTTTGCGTCCCTATTATAGTAAGGTACCCAAAAAGGGACCCTAATTTTGACAACCACCCACATGATCTTCTCTAAACACCAAACCCATCTTCGTGATCGCAAGCCCTGGTCGTTACCAGGAGTCGGGCACATCGGCATCGGGCAAGACTTGCCGAAAGGCCTCGGATTCGGGTTTGACATAGAGGTCTAGCTGTTAAGTTATTACAAATCACCTTGCCTTGTAGACTCGTTATTGTCATACGATCATATATTTCCCCGAAACCCCATCCCAGCCCTTAAGGCCCCCTACTGTGGGGTTCAGTTTTAAAAGGGATATGGGGGTAGGCCCTGAAGCTGCAGCCCGGGAAGTCTTGCTGGAGCTCTGCTCACGCCATCAGCATCGGGTGCGTTACGGATTAGGCTGTAAGTGCGTAATTAAGTATTTAGGGTTTGGGGGGTTTAGGGTTTAGGGTATAAGTATTTAGGTTTTGGGTGTTGTTGGGTTTATGAGGGTTCATGTTTCTTGATGTAATTTGGGCTGGTTTGGTTGTCTTACACAGATCCTCTACCTATTACAGGGGCATAAATAACAATTACCCATATTGTTCCTTAGGGTTCCTTGCTAAAGTTATACCCTTAAGGAGCCCAACACCCCATTCCCCTATATTACCCTCAGTCTCAATCACAAGCTCAGGCGTGGCAAGTGAATCTGCCACGGCAGAAATCTCGCAGCTTCAAAACTTTGCACTATAGTCTCCATCGGAATTGTCTAGGGGTTTAGTATAGGGTTTAGGCTTTTTCATGCTTGTTCATGTAAAGCCCAAGAGAATATTGAAAATGTTTGGTGTAAGGGTTCTAAGCAGGGTGTATAGTATGCCCCACGGTGGGCCGCTTAAGACCCCGAGCCATCACATAGATCCCTGAAGCTTGACCAAAGCAACTCCAGGCCTAAACCCTTAAACCACCAAACCCTAAACCCTATAAACCCTGAACCCTTAATCCCTAAACCCTAAACCCCTCGCAGATATGCCGCAAAGCAGATTTATGGGCAAAACGAACAGTATGTTATTTTAGGCAAGATCCTAAAAAACCTGCAAGACCCGGCAGAGCAGGCGCCGAAGCGCGCGTCGTACATGCGTGCATGGCGTTGACAAAAAACCCTAAACCCTTAAACCCTTAAACCCTAATAACCCTAAACCCTTAAACGCTCAACTAAACCCTCAACCTTTGGACATCCGAAGCGTCATGGCCCCGAGCCCGCAGCAACCAAATACCTCAAAAGCTGGGGGTTGCTAACGGCCTCAACCAGTGGGATACTTGAAGGTTCATGGACAGTTATAAGTAGGGTAACTATTCTTATGACCCATATTAGGGGACTTATAACCCCACTTATAACTACCCATGAACCTCCAAGTAAGGGCCTCAAGCAGTGGGATACGGCCCCTATGAGGGTTACTGTAATCATAGGGACCCCTGGTGGGTAGGGGGAGGGGATAGGGGGCTTGAATGCCCAATAAGGAGGGGGCCTTCATGCCCAATAAGGACCTACTAAGGCCTGTTTTGCAATAGGGCCACTACTAGGGCCTAGAGTCGGACCTGATTCGCTTTTTTTCGGATTCAGGTTCCCTTATAAGCGCCTTTAAACCAGAACGGGCACCCTTTTTGTTACGAGGTTACTCTTGGGTCTATCCTTTGAGGGTTACCTTAACGACTCTTTAGCATCGGGGCCTTGTTAGTTAAGACGCGATTCTCGGGGCAAAAAAGTATTACTATATCCGGGACTATGAAGGTACACTATTGCTAATTGTTCGAACCCCTATTTAAGACTGACCCGTTGCTTTCTGCACATTGACAGGTGCAAAACTGGTCAAAGCTCGGAGTGCAGCCCGACCAGGAGAATGTCATACGCACCTCACGCGACAAGCATTTTTCCAGGGTGTAACCTTGAATTGCCCTAATCCTACTATTTGCTTAAGAAACCACCAAAAAATAAAAATAATAATCCCTATATTACACCCATAAGGAATATATATTTTTATTTTTTGGGGGTTCTTAAGCAAATAGTAGAATCTGAAAAACCGCAAACCGTAAGTCCAGGTTTCTGGGTCACGCGCTTTGGGCTTCGGGGTCCAGGGGTTACAGTGGAGAGGTTCCTGGAAAGATAAGTTCTTCTCGACACTGTGATAATGTAGGGGCCTTAATAGTTAGAATAGGGTTTTGGGGCCCACTATACTGTAATTCTAAGAAGGAGCCCCCAAAATGGTATGGGTAATTATTTCGGCCCTGATAGTACATTAACAAAACGCAGAGCCTGATGCTCTGATCTGCACGAACATGAGCGTCAAACTCGTGTCATGAAAACGCCACTCGTCTCCCTTGCCACGGCCAGTTCTAACCCTCATGGCCGGAGAGCCTAACCTTGTTCCGCAAGCCTGTCAAGTATTAGTGCGCGTTAGAATAGGCGTTCATTCGAGAAAATATCGACATAGTGACAGCTCTTTGTCCACCTGGAAACATCGGGCTGGCATGGTGAGGATGGTAAGGGGCATTTATACTTGGAGGTTCATGGGCAGTTATAAAGAGGGTTATAAGTAGGGTACCTATACTTATAACCCATATCAAGGGACTCATAACCGCATTTTTATCTACCCATGAACCTCCGAGTAGCGCACTTGCCTTCCTAAAAGGCTCCGGTGCTGCAGGGTTTTGTGTTTTGAGAAGGCCGAGTCGAGTACTATAGGGGCCTAAACAATGGCTAGTACTATTTTGGCGGTTCCTTACTTTTGTTGAAGTATAATGAATGGGCCCCAAAGCCTTGTTCTAACTGTTGAGGCTAGGTCCACGGAAGGGCTGCGAAGGATCCCGCGAGCCATGCAAGGTCACAGACGGGTGCAAGGAAGTGCTGCAATTGCCGTAGAAACATGCGTACGTGCAGAGCTGCAGGAGGCAGCTCATTCTTGAAAGTATGTTGTAATGCCATCATCCTCCCCTCCCGTCCCATCACTCATCCACGTGACTATGATGGGTTCGGCATCGACAAGTCTTGGAAGGCCAAGTGACCCCACACCTTTCGTTTGCAAAGCCTCTTGGGTCAATTCCTTAGTTTGGACCCAACAGCCGAAAACCCGGGCCGATGCGCAAGATGCGGGGACCGAGGGTGATACGTCATGTGCAGAATGGTCTCGGGAGAAGCCACTGTCGAACGCCGAGTTCGATTGTCCGCACGCGAGCAAGGGAGCCAGTCGGTGCAGGACCGACTTGCCCGCCGGACACCCGGGCGAACAGATATTGCAGCGGTGCGGTATGCATATGGGATCTGCACTGGTTCGGCCAGAGCGATCAGTTGAAGGCGTCCGGAGCGATATTTGTGTCGCAGTCCTGTGTTTCTCGTTAGACTGCCTCGGTGTTCGCGCATTCTTTCCTATGATATTAGATGCAGCAAGCCGTCCGTGGCGTTGTTTGGTCTGGCATTCCAAGCTTCGGTTTTATCTGGTAAAGTGCACCCAAGGCGAACGAAACCTGACGCCCGGTCCTTGTGCGTGGTAGAGTACCTCGCGGACTCGTGCGTGAGTGTGCGTGAGTAGACGGCTGCACATGCGCTTTGGCCCGAACGAGAAGCATAGGGACGCTAGGAACAGTTTTTTGACAGGCAATTTCCACTATGCCGCGGCCTAGATTGTACCGTTCAGATGCACTCCTCCACCTTCATCCTTCCTTCCTTCCTTGGCATGACGCACAGGTTTCGTGCGCGCTTCACTTGCAAGACGCGCCACAAACCCCAAACCCTAAATCCCAAACCCTAAACCTTAAACCCTAAACCTGGATTCCCCTAGTGTGACCGCCACGAGGACTTGCGATGCTTCCAGGGCCTCCTCTGCGTGACGTGGCGGCACTTCGAACGTTCAGGGTTGGCCCGTCAGAAAATCCCTACACCCCACAGCCTTCAACTTGCACCCTTGAATATTGGGTACTGCCGCCCTCTATAGTAGCCCCAATATAGAATGCTACTGCATGGGGGCCGTACCCAACTTGAATAAATGGTCTCCCTCCGAAAGAACCTTAAGGTCTAAAATTAAGCGGTGCGAAGCTTGAAGTAAACCCTTTCTGAAGAATTACCGAAACTTAAGCCCTGGCGTAGACCCGGAATATGAAGGCACCTGGATCACCCCAAAACCTTTCCGACACAAAGCCATGCAGGTCCTGCGGCTCAGTGGGCACGACCTCAGCCGGACCCCAAGTCTACAGATGGGAGTTTCCGAAAATTAGGGGTACCTTGATTTGGGTCTTTATCGTAAGGATCCTACTATTTAGGGTAATTACTATCTTAGGGTCCCCCATTTTCGGAAACTCCCAGATGAGCGACAGAACTTTCGGGAAAAGGGCTTGGGGCTTTTGCAGTACACCGTAGGTTTGGGGTGGTTACAGTTTGCAAGTGGCTCCATCCACAATATTTTTGTCAAGGAAGTACCGGACAGAACAAGACATGTCACTGTGAATTGGGAATACTTGAAGTAGCTTCCGGATTGAGCCCTAAACCCTAAACCCCCAAACACCTAAACCCCTAGACCACTAAACCCGAAACCGTACACGCCCGCTCGTCTCAGCTGCCTTGTCACCCTTGGTGAAACGACTGAAACCGGACAGCCAAAACGCCTCGCGTTCCAAAAAGCAAACCTCTCAGCATTAACCCAAAACCCCCTAAACCGCAAACCCCCTAAACCCCTAAACCCTAAATCTCTAAACCCTAAACCCTAAGCCTCTAGGCCCTAAACCTCTAACCCCTATAGATCCCTGCGAGGCCTGAGAAGCCAGGTTCAGCTGAATCGACTTGACCGGCCCTGCGGAGACCTCCCTGGGCGAGATGTCGATGCCAGGCTTTGGGTTCTTGAACCCAAGGGGAAAAGGAGGGACCCTTAATGGGGACCCCAACCCTATAATGGGCTATATAATGGGTATATACTAGCTATGTTAAAGGTATGTATCCTATAGTGGGCTATATAATGGGTATATAATGGCTATATTAAGGGTATATACCTAGGGGTCCTTATTAATGGTCCCTCCTTTTATCCTTGGATTGAAGTTTGGGCCTTCGCTAGCATGCCCAGTAATGCCCCTTTGGAAGGATACTTAAAGGGGTCGTCATAACTGGAATAGTGGTCCTTTAAGGCAGGTTTACGATGTCGGGATGGTTTTAGAGCGCTTGGGGCTTTCGGCTCTTGAAGTTTGGGGCTTCGCTAGGGAACTACCCTCATGGAAGCCGTATAGTACCTTTATAGAAGCCCCTATAGATCCCCTTAAGGAGCCCTAAAAAGGCAGGTTTACGATGTCGGGATGGTTTTAGAGCGCTTGGGTCTTGGGGTTCTTGGGGTTTGCGCCTTCGAGGGTTTAGGGTTTGGGGTTTAGGGTTAACCCGATTAGAGTAGTCAGGCTAGGATGCCCAGAAGTACTCTTAGTCCCTTTTTGTAGTCCTAGATTCCTTATCAAGTTACCCAATACCAAAAAGAGAGCCCTTTGTATTCCTAGGTTACTGGGCCTAGTTCGAGGGTTTAGGGCTATTGGGGTTGAGGACTTGTTCCAGTAGCGCATATGGCTCAGGAGGTGTATAGGGTTTGGTAAGGTTCGTAAACGGATGTTCTTAACATGCGGCTTATTTCTAGATTAGCACTTCTTCCCAGGAGGTCAAGGTAAAGGATGTGGCAGCTAATATAGGAACCTGATTAAGAAACCCTGGGCCTATAACCCCAAAATACTAGGATTCATATGGGTGGTTGTCACAATTAGGGTTTCTTTTGGGGTCCCCATTATAGTACGGCACCTATTATTTAGGGTACCCCAAAAGGGACCCTAATTTTGACAACCACCCATATAAGCAGCCCGAATAAAGGCTCAAGGTTTCTTGATCAGGCTCCTACATTAAGTTTTGGGCCTTTTCTCGGAGGATGTGTTTTTGGTTTCGGGGTTCCTTTTAAAGGAGTTTTATAGGGGTTCCCTTGAGAGTTATTTAGAGGGCTGTAAGGGATCAAAAATAGGGTTTTGGGTTGCATGTATTGAGAGGATCCCTAAGCAAGAGGAGTCAGAGTTTACGCCATGGGTTCGAACACACCGAGCCTGTTCATAACGGTGTTAATAACCAAACAAAGATAAGCTGTCGGAATAGTGTAGGTTGCCTGTGGTTCACGAAATTTGGAGGTTTAGGGCTTGAGGTTTAGGATTTAAGGCTACGATCCTGAACCCTAAACCTTCCGACTTCCCCTTAACTCAAACCCTATAGGCCCTAAACCTTATACCTTGTAGAATCCCTACAGATCCCTTTAAAGGGAACCTTAAAGGAACCCTTATAACTACCCATGAAACCTCCAACCCTAGGCAGGGCGCCCCAAACGCTGACAGGCGCACGTCCCTCTCTGCTCTCGGAGCCGGTGATGGCACGCAGGCGGCAACTTGGCCACTTAGGGGGATACTTTAGAAGCTGCCGCCACCCTGTAATAGTGACTATAAGGATTATGTTAGGGCCCTATTATAGAGAGGATTTGGATCGAGGTTTTGTGGTTCTTATCTGATTCAAGGGAACTCCAGGAAGTTGGAATATGGTTTCAGGGTAGGATCCCTTATAATTTGCCATAAAGGGTTCAGGATAATCATATCCCAACTTGCTGGCTTTTACTTTAGGGGGATACTTTAGGTACGGCCCCCCCTCAGTAATAGTTGAATAATATTCATAGTAAAGATATATTAGGACCTCAATAGCAACCCTATCATAGACTCTTACTGTATGGGTGCAGTGCCTGGGATACTACTGGAGAGTTCTATTGTATAGCGACCTTAATGATTGAATATGGTTGCGCTGTAGAATATGCGGGATTAACGAAGAACCCTGAGGAATAGTTTGCTCGGTTGTTACCTGACGTTGAGAAGAGAAGAGGCTCTCTTTCGGTCTTAGCAGTAGCTCCAGCAGCAGTAGCAGAAGCCGTAGCGGTAGCACGGCTGGAGGAGCAGCAGCAGCTGCATAAGCAGAAGCAGCAGTGGAAGCCCGATTAGAGCTGTAAGGCTAGGATGCTCAGTAGTACCCTCAGTCCCTTTTTGTAGTCCTAGGTTCCTTATCAAGTTACCCAAAACCAAAAGGGGAGCCCTTTGTATTTCTAGATTACTCGGCATCCAGAGAAACCCTAGGCCTATAGCCCCCAAATAGTAGGATTCATATAAGGAAACCCAAAAAAAGGCCCAGGGATTCTTAGTCACATTCCTGGTTTTTGGTTTAAGGGTTCAGGGTTTAGGGTTTAAGGTGTTCTGAAAGGTGGCTGTGCTTGGCACTGATGTTTCTGCCTTGGGCTTGGATATCTTGACGACTAGCCGGAATAGTTTGGGTACTGCCCCCACTCAGCAACAGTTGGATATGATTCACAATACAAATATATTAGGACCTCAATAGTAGACTGTTACTGTATGGGCGCAGTACGCAAGCAGTCGTTCTTTTCGCAAGGTCTCCTGCCTCAGACTGGCCTTGGTGTACAGGCGATATTCGCCCTTCAGTTGGGGTGTTCATGCATGGAAACCCCAAAACCCTCAACCCTAACTTTGGTCGGGATCCTTATTCAGCTGAAACCCTGCACCGTAAACGTTGGAAACAGCTGCTTTCCAGAGACCAAGGAGTTCGAACTTGGAACTGCGCTTCCGCTGGGACAGCAGTCGCCTGAGCGACCAGACACTCCGATGGGGACGCACCAATACTATTTTGAGGGTTCCTTAGCATGGCTAAAGTACATTACACACCCCCAAGCCCTATTCTAATTATTGACATCTGGAGATGTCTTGATAATGCGGATATTTATGTCCTGAAGTCCTGTGGCTCTCTTTCTAATCGGTGCGTTTTCGGATTCAAGACCGTGGATCCTGAACCTAATATTCGGCTCCACTATCGGAGATTCCTCTGAACCACATCTAAGTCAGGGACGTTATATGCCAAAAACTTCCAAGTTGAGCTTATGCGCTTTGGCAATCCAAACTGCAACTCGAAGTGAAAGTCGGTAGCCGAAGTTTCTGTGGGCTCTGCTTACCTTTGGTTAGTAGGGGATGGAAGAATGGTAGTAATGGTAGTTATAATTGCACCCCTTCCTCCATTCCACCCCTTCCTCCATTCCCTACTAACCAAAGGTAAGTCTGTTGGAGGTTGAGGGTTAAGGCAGGAGTTTAGGGCTTTGAGCCCTTAAACCTTATGCACCTTCACAACCATACAATGCGAAGACGCAGGAACTTTCACATGGTAGTTGATAAAGCTCTTTGCAAGCCTGTAGAGGGCTTTCAAAGGTCGCTTAGTTGCCTGTGTATTCGGGCTCTTTGATCATTGACGACCTTATATTTGCAGTCTATCCTGGCGGGTCCCGGGTTTCGGTGATGTTTAGAGCTCCCGATTCTCTGGTTACCATAACCCCAATTAGGGTCCCTTTTTAGGGTACTTACAAGTCTACTTACTTTCTGCTTACTAAGTCCCGCGACCCTCCAAGTAGCAAGAGCCCGCTGATGTAGGGAGAACTTGAAACGCCTCGCGAGGAGATACGGGTTTAGGGCATCAGGATTTGATGTGCACAGTTCGGGTCACGGGGCGCAGGGTACAGAGTCTAGGATGTGAGGAGCAACATACGGTTTGCGAAGCAGGGTTTAGAGCATTGGGTTCAGATTTCAACCATAGGTCAGCCTTGTACCGCATGTTGGTTACGAGAAGCTCATTGTGATTTTCCCGACCTTGCGGTAAAGCTCATCAGCACCAGACACTACGGCACCATGCCGCAGGCGAATTGCCACAAGGTTTTCAATAATCAAGATCTCATGTCCATACTGAACTTTCTGCTAAACAAGTCTAAGAAAAGCATTTGGGCCGTTGGCCCTCCTCTGCAGCTAGCGACCCACGTGTCATGAGTTTTCGCGTTCTGTCGTTTGGCTGCTATGGAACCCAATTACAAACAGCACTGGAGGTTGTTGAAGGCAAGACCTCACCTGAACCGCAACCCTGGGCCCAAAACCCGATGAAGCAGAAATTCAGACAGGAATTCACCCGCGAGAAGGGCCCTGTTGTTTCTCGGGATCGTGGCCTTAAAGCTGACCCAATCCAGCTGCAGCCAGTTTAAGAGCTTGCTGTTACCGTTTAGAGTTTCGAATTTAGAGGCCAGTTTCTCAGCTGGCTTGGCCACTACAAGATCGAGAACGCCATGAATCGCCCGTCCTTGAAACTGCGATACAGGCGAGGTTGCGGCAATCTAGGCAACTGAACAATTAGTAGTCAGTAGTCAGTAGAAGTATCTATCCCACTCCAGCCTTTGTTTCTGAGTCGTTCCAGGTAGCCCTCGTACTATCCATATATTCGCCGATTACAAAGCCCACAAACCTTGTTCAAGCAATGAAGGCCCCCACATCATTCGGCCTTTAGATCCTTACTGCAACAGACGGCACCGTCCATCCAGTTTCAAAAGCAGCGAGTCCCGTCCGACATGCCAGAGCTCTCGCGTCACGCAGGGCAAGTTTGCACAAACCCGCACGTTCTTTAAAAGGGTTTAGGGTTTAGGATTAAGGGGTTGAGGGCTTTAGGATTAAAGGTTTTATTGCACCGTGATTTCTCAACGCAGATCCCCGTTCCAGTTCGCAGTTCTCTTGCAGCGGTTCTTGTGATGGGGAGCCAGCAAACAGACTTCAATGTATTTTCATTTGTTAGGGGTCTATGGCTTGAGTCGCTGGGATCACATAAACAATAGTTCCAGAGTGTTTGAACTCGTTCCTCCTCGTGGGAGCTGGCACTTATTCTTCGTGCATCGGGGGCACGGAGGTCGAGAGGCGATCAGTCCAATGCACATGTTCGTCGGAGACAGCAGGAAATTGCATGCCGATGGACGTTGCTACGTGGTACGCGTAAAGCTTGTAATTGCACTTGCAGACGCACAACACGACGATTGGATAAGTTTACACGACGCGGTTTGCACAAGATCCTAAATCGCCGAGTTGGCTTCTCGATGATGAGGTTCCATGTCTGCTACTGCCACGGCGATGGTGGTTGCGACAGGACCGCAGACGACTGATCAGCAAGCGGTGCTTAATCGGTGCAGAGTGTTGCGCCTTAAACCTTGGGCGCTAAGCTTGTAGTCTGTATACAGTCCCACACTCAGCATTTTCGAGCGGTAAGACGAACGGGTGTAGTTTCACAGATGCAGTTTGAAACATGAGATGTCAGTCTGTGCATGACGACGCAGACTCCTAGTTTTGTGCAGGATAAGCTGCTTTCACCGTACTCTTTTGCCAGGTCCCTAGACCCTCCATCTACCCTTTATTAAACCTTTATTTGAGACCATATACCCCTATTTGAGGGTACAAGGAGGCTCCTGGTCTAGTCTTGTTACGAGTTAGATATTAGAAGCTGCCCCCACCCTGTAATAGTGGCTATAAGGATTATATTAGGGCCCTATTATATTCCTATTATCCCACTATTACAGGGTGGGAGCCCCTTCTAAGTTAGATAGCAAGAGTTTGGATGAAGGCGGCCGCAGCACCAGTTCAGCTCGTCCTGTCATGCTTTCGTGTTCGTGAACCCTGCTGATGACCAATTTCCAGTTCTATAAATTTAATTAGAATAGGGTTTTGGGGCCCATTATAATATGAATATAATCAGGGAGCCCAAAAATAGTATTGGTTGCAATACCCGCAGACTTATGATCGACAAGCTATTCCTCGGGCCGAGCGTGCCGGAGAACCCCTGTAAGATTCAAGCCAGGGTCTACGTTTGAAAGTAGCCGAGACCATGGCAACTTTTACCAGGCTTAGGGTCAATTGGTCAGGGCGGATGCAACCCGTATTTACCGATTGCTCAAACCTGCGTCCTACTTGCCGCTGAAGGGCGGAGAGCGCACGCCTCCACTGCATGAACACTGAGTGCCCCTTCGCGTCGTTTGAGGAAGAACCGTTGTCAAATTAGCCGAAGCATAAGGGCCAGAAGCGGCAGTTGCAACTACACCGCAACAAAGATCATAGAAACGGTTCTATTGAGTTCTCAACGTGTGCCAGGAATGACCGTTTCTGCCAAACTGCTGGCATTCTTACTGCGGGGCGCCTGGCAGAGAGGGAGGGAGACAGCTGCCAGTTTCGATAGCTGCAAAAGTAGGTACTGCTAGTAGCTGTATAGAAGTACCAAATGTATCCTGCTCATGTCAAGTGGCTGAGGGGTACCCTCGAACTTCATGATTCGGTAGATCTGCATAGGGCACATGGGAGTTTCTGAGGATTTGCACTGTGTTGTTCTTCAGAACAAGTCTCTTAAGCTAATCCGAGTTTACATGAGGGCAGCTGCTCTTTCAAGCCCCCATGTAAGCCATGATAGCGAATCCAGGCAAGTGTGCCAGTACGTCCAGCCTAGCAGCCTTCGAACGCCGATTTCATCACTTTTGACACTGCATTTGCATGTCACGCCATGCCCAATGCTCGCGTATTCAGCAGCCGGGGTAATCAAAGGTATTGGAATGAACCGACGAAGGATTGAGCCACGCCCACACAATGTGTGTATGACGCTTCCCTGTGCGTCTGGCCGTTCAGCCAGCCTCCTGTGCTGTGTTACAGGACCATACTCAGCTAACACAACACCACCCCAGTGGAATGCCAGAGAAAATGGACTTTGCGTGTAGGACAATGCTAAGCAGCTTGAAATATCAAAGAAAAGGTCATTCTACTATGAAAATGCCTTATTCTCGCCCTCTCGTTCTCTCCGTGTTGCTCGCTTTCTGTTCTGTTTATCTCTTTGTTGTTTCTCTCTCTCTCTCTCTCTCTCTCTCTCTCTTTCGCTCTCTCGCTCTTCTTCTATCTGCCGCCCTCCTTGCTTGCGGCTTCGCCATAACACTACAGTCTCGAGCATCAGATCCTGAAGCTCTGCCCTTTCTTTTCAACGCCAGCTTTGCACGGGAACCCGTAAGTATGATGATATGATATTCGGTACGTATGGTACGTTTAGATATACACTACTGTAATTGAATAAGAACTAATGTAACCTAGCAACATACAATTACCATGCAATGTAGTACAATACAAAACAGTATATTGTGCAGTACAGTAGAGTGTAGTATAGTACAGCATACTACAATATAGTACAGAACATGGTACAGTTTAATAATATGATATAGCGAGTTTGATATTCTTCAGTGTTAAGGTACAATCGCAACATGCGAAGCGACATGATACCATAATACATTACAGCTTAATGTTAACATGTCAGTTAACAACCTCAGCTGTACAACCACGTGACCTTGAAATCCCAAAGCCTTAAACCACACATACTCTGTTTTACAGTCCTGTAATTGTTCGTACAAGCCCTCCAAAGCCCGTATGAAAACCCTGAAGAAAGAAAACTCCACAGCCCGTAGAAGATAGTTGTCCTACCCTAATACCCGAGATGCTAAACCCTAATCCCCTAAATCCCCTAAACCCTAAACCTAAACTCCAAACCTAATTTTTGTCCCTCCTGCGCTCTTCAGGTGGCAGATCTCTGCGCCGAGGCCTCGTGGCTGAAGTGTCAGTCGGCTGATGATATAAACCCTGCATTCACTCCGAGTCCCTATATAGTTCTATACAACCAGAAAGGTTAACCTTTAGTTCCCCATGATAGCCGACAAGTAGGAACTTAAGGACCCTAAACTATGGGAATTATGGTATATTCTTTGTTCTGGGTAATGCAGGATATGTATCATCAACCGTTACGACAGACATGGAGACCAACACCCATGCAAGTTGAGGGCTTGGGAGGCTCCTGTATAGGTTTCGAAAGAACGGCTTTATGAATCTATAAGGGGTCCTAGGGTAAGGAAGACAGAGCCCCGTTTCACGGCGCAGGACCCGGAGGCTTGATCTAATTTTCGATTCAGTATCACCTTTATTCAAGATATCCTCACAAAAGGAATAAGAGGGGGAGCGTAGTTTGAGGTCCAGAGAAAGGAAGGATCCTACTATTTAGGGTAGTATATCAGGGTCCCCTAATATTCCGAAACTTCCATCCAACAATACTAGTGCCGCTCTTTCCACAGCGGCCTGCATAGGCAGGCGGAGCCCATAAGGGGTGTACTGAACGAGATGATGTTCCGAGGCTGACTTGCATTGAAAGCCGTGACCGCGGCGGTGGCGAGACAACACTCCATGCCGCCTGAAACCTTTAGAGCTTAAAACCCTAAGCCTCAAACCCTAAAACCCTGAAACCCAGAATCCAACACACTAAACCCTAAGCGCCGGTGTGCCGTTCCTGCAGTAGTAGCAACGGTTTTGAGCATTCTTCAAAGACGATCCCCAGACGGGATAACATCCTCACCAAAACCCTAAACTCCTAGCCCAAAGCCGTCCGTGCGAGCTCACAAGCCCACATGGAGGCCACCTGCGGTACTGCGCCTCCATGCTACAGCAGCTGTGCAGGGGTCCTGGATTTGCGGATTTACTGTGTACGGTTCAGGGTTTTGGTTTTTTGCCGAATGAGAAAAGGCTTTCTGTCATAGTTTTACCTTAAACCCTAAAATTCAGAACTGAAGCCCAAGGAAACACCAAAGCTTTGAAGCCATGCTTGCGCGTCCTGTCCCGGGTCAGATCTTCGGTCTTGAAGTTTGGATTCTCTTGGGCTCTACACCCCAAGCCATAAAATGGTTGCGGACATGGTTCAGGAAACCACACGAGCCCGGAATGTGTACGGCTTTGGAGAGTTTACGTCAACCCTACGCCGCACAGGAGGAGCTTTGCAGATGTGCTGTGAAAGATACTTTCTGGCTCGAAGAAGGGCAACCTAGGGGGTTGGCATCGAAGTTGCTTGGAAAGGAGCTCACATACAATCACGAGAGGCCGTGGGGCATCGCACTGGGCATCGTAACAAACCTGCAAGCCCATCTCACACGCCCTGCATCCTAAACCCCTAAACCCCTAAAGCCCTAGATGTACAGCCCTAACACTATGCCCCCAGGACCCGCGATCGGGACGGTGTGTCTCCCAGGTCCTCGAATTAGGGTTCCACGATCTTAGTTTGCTAAATGAAAAGGATTCAGAGCGCAGGGCTCAGAGTTCTGGAGCTTGTTTGTTATATCCCTACCAGCATGAAAGAGCTAACTCTTCCGGGAGGGCGGCGAGCTCAACAACCAGATGGTGGGTGTGTTGCGGTACTTTGACTTAGAGTTCCATTCAGAAGAGGTCCAGGGTGATGGGGTCCATAAAACGGCCCTCAGGTCCAGACTAGGCACATGGTGTGATGCCTCTTGAGAGGGGGCCTAGAGTAGAGTATAGTATGGCATCAAATCGAATCAGATAGTACTAACATACTATACTGTGCTATGCTCTGCAATCCTGGCTCTGGACAGCATTGGAATGCTTGTGACAAGTTCTACAAGGCCGCGGTCTATGGAATCGTAGATGTGCTGTTTCGCCTCAACGGCATTGAAGGTAGGATGCAGTGTCGTGAGTGTTAGAACCTCTACGATAATTTATCGATGCACCCCTGCTGGCAGGATTTGCTAATCCAACTCGCAGATGGGGCAGCGCCTCGTCAGCAGCGTCTTCACCCAGTGGAGCATGCAGATGCAAGCCTGAACACTGACCTCAAGATGTGTACTTCCCTCCCCACAAGCGAGAGAGCCTTACAAGCCCGCTTTCTTTCCATAGAGCTGTCTGTCTTGTAAGCCCCTAAACCAAAAAAAAAGTGCGAAGTTCTGTCTGGGCACAGTTCTCGAACCGTGCATTCCTGAACTCCAAGATCTCAGTCATAATATAGGGGCTTAAATCATTACTCATATTATTCCTGAGGGTTCCTTACTAAAGCTATACTCTAAAGTAGCCCTACTACGTACCCATTGTAAGTATTCAGGCCCTTGTATTAGGCTCCAAGCTGCCAAGCCCTTTAAGTGAGTCACGAACTCTGGACTCAGTTGGATACAGGGTTCAGGGTTTAGGGTTTTGGGGTTTAAGGTTTAGGGGTTTAGGATTGTAGAGTTTTGCTTGCGCCACTCGACATCATGAACTCAACACCCCCACCCAAACCCCGGAAGGCAAAGAACATTGAGTTTGGCGAGGACAGAACGCCACGTTACTTGTCACCATCTATCTATCTAACTGTGCCTAGCTAGCTCTCTATCTGTCTGCCTATACATGCATTGTTACATATATATATATATATATATGTATACACATATGTACATACACATGTGCACCTAGATGGGTATATGTATATATGTATATATATGTATATATATATACACATATATATATCTACATATGTATGTTTATACATGCATGCTACATCCTCGGTTCCTGCATCCTTCGGCCCTCTCAGGACTGTGTGATGCCAAGCCTGGCACCTGGCAGAAGTTTACGGCCTTTTTCGGCTTAGTATAGGGGTAAACAGGTTTCCCTTAAAGGCGTTTAGTACAAGGGCCTGGGTAATTGGGGTTTGGGGGTTCAGGTTCTGGGGGCTTGGGGGCTCAGCATAGGGGTCTGAATCGTTGAGACAGGGCCCCTCTACGGATTCTATAATTTACTTTTGGTTAGTAGGGAATGGAAGAATGGTAGTAATAGCAGTTGTAATTGTATCCCATTCCTCCATTCCCTACTAACCAAAGGTAAGATAAGTCAGGGGCCGACATGGTTTGCACTCACATGTGCCCACAGCAACACCGCCCATGTGCTAGGATAAATGTTTGGGCCTGAAGGAGGAGATTGAACGATAGCATTATGAACTCATATATGTCGTATAGGCGCCATAGTATTGCGGCAAATTTCGGCATGTTCTATCGTACGGAACCTAAAAATGCGGCAGCTATCCCGGTGTCCATATATTTCCTCCCTTCAAGCATGCCCAAGAACCACAAAAGCTCAGAAACTCAACGGCTTCGGATTCCGTCAAGCCATCGCAAAACCGCTTATGGAGGGCTCTTTAAGAGGAAACCTCATAGTATTTATGGCACTTGCGGAGTACCAGCATTGCGTAGGGATCTAAGGCGGCGGCCGAGTTTTTCTCACAAGCCCTTGCTGCAATTTGGCCCCTCTGTTGATGAGGGTTCAAGTCATGTAGAGTTGGAGTATACAGGGGCTTTTTAGGGCTTAGGGGATTTAGAGTTCGGTTGGGAATTTGCAGGAGCTTTAGATGCGTCTTGGTTTTCGAGGCAACGAAAGCTCCCTTCCGGGTCGCTGTGATCAAGGGCAATGTGTTCCGAGGCCTCCCCAAAGCATCGCGGGTGGAAAGTCTGCAAAGTTTGATGTAGGTTTTCGGAATCGTGAGATTTATGGGGTCTTTAGGGATCAGGGGTTAAGAAGTTGAGGGCTTGGTGGTTACGGGTTGTTTAGATCTTATTAAATGAGAGGCGGTAGGAGCCAGGCGGCAAACGCCACAAACCCCACCCCATCCCAGCACGTAGCTGGATTCGATCCACTGAGCTCCTGAGTTCTTCAAGTAGTTGAGAGCTGCTTGGAACAAGCCGAGGGGGAATAGCACACAAGTTATCCATTTGGGGAGCCAAAGACCTTGGGCACGAAGTGCCTCAGAAGCATCCGTTGCCTTCGGCAAGACGGGTTGCATGGCCTCGGTTTATGATGCAGGGCTCCGTTTGAGGATGTTGTCGGTTCGCTGTAGGTGCACGAAAGCACTAATTCTACTTGAAGGCCTGCGCGCCATTTTTTGAGCAAGGCCATAAGCGCGGCAACTGCCAACAGATCCAGACCGCACCCCATGCTGAAATATTGACAACCCTACTCAGAATACCCCTGCACCCACAAGCAGACCACATCATCTAACAGACACAGCCCGCAAGAAGCTATCGCCTTTATGCGCCAGCAAGAGCAGCAAAACCAAAACCCGAGAAATGCCATCGTCGTTCGCCTTGTCTAGTTGATTTGCAGGCTTTCGTATCACAGTAACAGCGTCTGGCCAGGGCTAGTTCAAGCTCATTTCGAAGCTGTTGTGCCTCGCTTTGGTTTTTCTGTCTATCTGCATCGAGAGCATGTGTTGAAAACCAGCAGCACGGACCACTTTCTTTTGCAGTTGGTACGACTGCGAAAGCTGCTAGCTACAAGCAATGCGAATCAAAAAGGGGTAAGCATGCAGTTCTCTTGAACCGCCAAGCCCAATCTGCGCAAGCTAAACGATGAACCCCTGACCCCCCCCCGGCCCCAAGCCCGGAGCTATCAGAGGCATCTCAGCGGTCTTGTTTGCGTGTTTGTGTGATTTTTTCATTGTGTAACTGTAAAATTATGTGGTTATGGACCCCGTAAGTTCACCTGACTCTCTCTAGTTCGCGATTCCTTCATGATTTGCCTATGCGTGTAAACGAGCAGTACAGTCAATGATGTTTGTTGTGTTCTGTTCGTATGCGTGTACATATGTTTGTCTCACAGTTGGATAGTTGCCCTGCCGCCTACGAACCCCCCCAAAAACCCTAAAACCCTAAGCTTTGCCTGCCAAGTCTCCGAATGCCAGCGCCAGGGGCCCGCCGTCTCCTCAAGCCAGCGATGCGGAGGTCGAGCCATGCAATATGGGAGTTTCTGAAAATTAGGGGGCACCTTATTTTGGGGTCCTTGTAATAAGGATCCTACTGTCTAGATATTAAGGGTGTTAAAATAGGGTCCCCGAACTCCCATATGGGGCGCCGGAAAAATAGTATAGACCGGCAGCACTTGTAGATAGATAGCTAAACCCACAGCTAAGTATCGGAAGTCTGAAAGCCTTGATGTCTCACTTTGTCTACCTATCTGCGTGCATGTACACATGCACATTTACGTGTGTTACTTTGCAAACTAGGTTGCATGTTTGTAGATAGAAGGGGAATGCAAGTTGCTACTGTAGGTGTACACTTGTAAGCTTCGGTATGTGATGCATCCGGATTGCGATGGACTGCACGTTCATCTAGTCGGCAGCTCGGCAGCTCCCGCAAGCAATGCCGTACCTTAAGACGTCTGAAAGTCTGAACCTTGAATAATAGGCAGCACAAACGAAAAGGCCTGGGAGTCGACGGGGTTGGCAATAGTCCCAACAACAACACGGGGAGCAAGGAATGACAATGAAAAGAAGAAGGAGGAGGGAGGCAGCAGCCATGGCCCCACCACACACCGAACGGCAGTCAGAATAGCGAGAATGCTTGAGAAGGTAGTATTGGAGATCATGAGACAATGATGAAGCGAAAGAAAACGATGAACAGGCAGCGAAGCTCCTCGTGCCAGTCGATCTTGTGTTTTCGAGTCGCCGCAACTGAGTCTTGGAAGAAACTGCAGCAGAGACTGATCGAGACTTGTGAACTAGGTGCTACTCAGAGCCTGCAGAAGCTTCATAGATACACACACATTTCAGAGCACCAGGACCACAGTGTACATAATCAGACCATCACTCGCGAAAATATCGGGCATCCAGAACGAGAGGTGCTAAACCAAAGCCCACAATGTCAAGAAAAGCCCGACATCACCACGGTTGTGGACAAAGCCGCAACATTGAAGCTTTCAACAACCCAAGTCCCTCAAATGCAGGGCCGCACAAGAAGCAGGTCAGCTCGGGAGCTGCGGCCGCAAACGCCCCAGTCAAACGGGAAAGCCCCTTACTTAGTAGCTGAGTGGATACACTTTACACTTTTTGGGATAATACTACCCAATATGAAACTAAAAGTGTACACTTTTTCCCCAACATCCCCAAAGCTTTGAAAGTCCCCAAACCCCAGAATCCAACAGCCCTCCTGAACCTAGAGCCTCCCTCACCCCAACACCATTCCTCCATGAGCCCCAAACGCCCACCACCCAGAGACTCGAGATACCCCTTTACTAAGGAATATACCTTAACTTATAGTAGGATCCTTAATATGAATTAAGGTGTATTCCTTAATTAAGGGATATTGGAATCCCCTACACCATAAGCCCTATATATCCCTTTGAGGAAACCTAAATAAAGGGATAGTGGAGTCTCTGGGGGCAAACTCTCATCCCAAGCAGAACCCGGAGGCTTCGGCGGTCCCCCCCAGCTGCCTGGCGGATGGCTTCGAGTGCCTGGACCGGGAGATGGCCCGGGCCCCATAAGGCGTTGTAACCCTCAGATGGTAGCTGTTTTAGAGTAGACTTCTTAGACTACAGCTTATGAGAATCCTTTTGGTATCCCTCAGATTGCAACCCTCAGATCGTAGGTTTTGTGGAGTCGATTTCTTAGAAGACTGCTTGTGATAATCCTTGTGGTATGCTTCAGAGTACTGGTGGCCCTTTGTTGTAACCCTCAGATTGCAACCCTTCTAGTCTAGTGGTCATTTAGAGCAGATGTTCTGGAGGACTGTTTATGATATCTTGTAGCATCCCTTATGGAAAGTTTTACAGTTTCCCTTCAGCTTGTCGCCCTTTGTGGTGACCCTCAGATCGTCACCCTTATAGCAACTGTACAAAGCCCCTGTATGGCAAACCATATAGTATCTTTTGGTTCAACCCAGCAGGGGTTTAAGTATAGAACCCTAAATGAATAGTTATGTCTATCCTTATAATATGATGTAACCCCAAATCCGGTTCTAATGGTCGTAACCTTATATGGTAACCTTCATATTGCGCACGTATTGCAACCGATACCCTAACCACGGTACAGCAGACCTTATGGTAACCTTTTCTAGCCACCCTCATATCTTAGTAATAAAGGGACTTAAAAGAATTACAGAGTAGCATTCCTGCGGTCCTGAGTATGTCTCTACTATCAAGGACCCTATTCTAACAATGAAGGCCCCTACATCATAAAACCCTTTTTTGTAGATCCCTTACACTAACCCTTCTGAAGGACCCTCAATAGCAACCTATTGGAATTCGTAAGGCCCCTACAGCCAGGCTTGGACCTTGGGATACGAGGGCTATGCGCGCTTTCAGCCCATCTACTTCGAGGAGATGGGTGGGAAAGCAAGGAGAGTCTAGATGTGTTCTATGAGGGTTTTGGAACGGTTCTGCAAGATGTGTACAAGGTTTCTATAAGAGGGTCTAGAAGGATTGCTATACATGTACTATCAGGGTTCTCCAAGGGTTACTGTCACGGACTGCTCTTGGCGCCTCGGGTTCTGGGCGTGGGGTTTGGGAATCCCTAAACCCCTAAACCCTAAACCCCTAAGCCCTAAACCCATGAACGGATACTGGAGTCTCTGCGAAGCGCACCGGGATTCGGGACCTGGTCCGAGCGCCGAGCAGGAAAACTGATTGATTGCTGGGGGTTGTGATTAAGCATTGGAGCTCAGGGGTTAGGGTTGTCGTTAAGGAGAGGTTTCAGGGGCCCTGCGCTTCTATAACCCCCCAAGGCTTGACATACTCACATACATCCTCCCAAGCCAAGTTGTTGCGAGCCAACCACCAAAGGGTAGCAACAGTGCAAACCTCCACACATGTATGGGTACGTATGTACACACACACATCCTATCTTTTGCGAAGTGAAGGCCACTGCGCTCCACCCGACGTCGCTTCCGCCGGAGGCATCAGCCGTGATGGGCGGCGTTTGATGGGTTCGGGCTTCGGATGTCAAGGCTGTCATTGCGCACTTAGGAATGCATGCAAGGAGAAATCACACATTGTAGCGAGGCTACTGTTTCATCAATTCGGACCTCCCGAAATTTGTCGCGTCGTACTCCATCCTACAACTGCACCTTGAGTTGTCAAACCAACAGGTCTCCTTTTTTGTTGGCACCGGGCCTTGAATCGTAAGCGCTCTGACCTGGAGTCCCATCCGAAGCCCGAGAGGACAATGTCTTTGACTTGTCCCACCTTCGTGGCGGCGTCGCCTGCCTGGCGGATTGCACGGGTGCAGGAGTTCAGCTTGGGGGATTCTGTAGTGCTGAGTTCACCGAACACGACTCCCTGAACGACCCTTAGGCTTCAACAGTCTGTGACTTGATGGAAACCTGCAGAAACTCGACAGCCTGCATGCCTTCAAATACCTCCCTTTGCAGAGGAGATGAAAGTTGTTTGTGGAGTTCATACGATCCTATTCTCTTAACCCTGAAGTCTTAAGCACCCAAAACGGGCGTCGGACGTTGTTGCCCTGTGTGCGTGATGAGAGTTCGGGGCCTTCTCGCCAGGTCCGAGGCAGCCGGCTGGTGCAGGTGGCCTTTGTTTCTGGATTCTTCCCAAATATAGGGGCCTAAAAAATTATCAATGCCATTTTGGTGCTTCCGTACTATAAGTATAGTATAACGGGCCCCAAAACCCGATTTTAATTATCAAGGCCCCTGTATTAGAAGCCCGGTGACCTCAACAGTAGGTTCCTGGGGTAAAGGTGCTGCAAGGCACTCACAGGGTTCAGGGTGCGGTACCCCCAGCACACCGGCGACTGGGATCATTGGTTTAGGGTTTAGGGGTTGAACACGGACTCATTTCACTAGGTTTTGATTCATCCTGATTGCCAATGCCGCCTGTACTGGCCTAAGTTCCTTTCCTGGGCTACGACTCTAACTATCGACCCGAGTTTGATAGGTAGTGAGAGAGGAGAGGACGTTAGGATCACAGCAATTCTACTGACTAGAGTTTTCATCAGACATTAGACAATATAGGTATTCAAGTGAGCATTTACATTGCATATAATCCCAAGCTCCGAAAGAACGGATTGCGGAGAGTGCGCTTCTGGCCGGCACTACGCATACGAGCTATTTGGGGCTTCGGTTTTTGAAGTTCAGTGAGGTTCCCACTCTAATGTAGAGCCCCCTCCACACCGCCATCTGCAAGCATGCCCGTGCCCTTCATTTATCGCTTCTACCGAGAAGCGGTTGACGGTTTGCCACTCTTGCTTTGTTTGGTGCCCTGTGTCACAAGAGTGTGTCCCCGAAGCCGCACTCGAGCTTCGGCCAACAGACCAGGGTTGTCCGTTTCTACTTGGAGGTTCATGGGTAGTTCTAAGTGGGGTTATAAGTCCCCCAATACGGGTTATAAATATAGGTACCCTACTTATAGCCCTACTTATAACTACCCATGAACCTCCAAGTAGTGCTTGAGGCTTTTGGGTGTTAGAGTGTCAGCCTAAGCCGAAGCCTTTAGGGATTGAAAGCCTTGCAAGCAAGAAGCCAGCCGTAGGCTTATGGCATCCGGCCGCAACTCAGCCAAGTGGAAGCCTCAGAGTTGCTGTGGGTTCTAGCGTTTACTGTATTTGGGGCGTTACTGTAGTCTTTAGGGTGCAGGTTTTTGGGGAACCGAGCAACTTGAAGCTTTTGTGTTTCAAATCGGGTGGTTCCAACCTCGGGGGCTGGTACTTGCGCGTCTGTCAGGGATCCTCAAAATATGGAGCCTCGACAAAGCACCCGAAGTAAGAAGATCCCGTCCATCCAACATGGTGGGAGGCTTTGGGAAGAATTGCAAGAAGTGCTGAATTTCCTGTAGGGATAAAGGTTCAACAAGGGTGATACATCTTCAGAGTTGTGCTTTTTGCAGTGGTAATGTCCCCTGAACCAAGGACCCCAAATTCCGGAATGTCCCTTCATCCAGAAATCTCACAATACCTCCAAGCCTAAACCCTCTCTATGTTCAAGCTTTCCTGATTCTACTAAGTGATTCAGGTGAACATCTCCCGGACGGGAGCGGAGAGCGCCGGCGGGGCCACCACTGAACTGCGCCTAAGCGTGATCCTCAGTCTTGGGTAGGGCTTCAGGTGGAAAGGCAGAAGTTCCCCAAAAAAGGATCCAAAGGACCAGTGATTGAGATTCTGCCTAGGTTTTTGATTTCAAGCAGTAGTTGTGTGGGTCGCTGTTTCGGAGAGTAGATGGGTGGTTGTCAAAATGAGGGTCTGTTTGGGGGTCCTTATTATGATACGGCACCTAATATTTAAGGTACCCAAAAAGGGGCCATAACTTTGACAACCACCCGTATGATTAGTAGATCCCTAAACCCTAAACCCTAAACCCTAAACCGTTACTAGATAGTTGGAATCTAAGGGGACTCCCTGGAAGGCACAGCCTGGCGGCACGTCAGGAGCACCTTTCCAGACAAGGGTGACTGACTTGAAGTTTAAAGTAAAAGCCGGAAAGTTAGAATATGATTATCCTAACCCTTCTATGGTAAATTATAGGGTATCCTACCATGAAACCATATTCCAACCTTCTGGAGTTCCCTTTGGGGCTTACGGTTTTGGGGCATCTGACGTCACAAGGGGGTCCTCGTCGACGAGGCAACCCAAAAAATAGCTACAAAAAGATTAAATCTAAATCCAGCCCAATGTACACTAGCAGCCACGCATCGTATCACCTGTTGCAAGCAAAAATTAGCAAAAGCAAATCCTGATCCAGGATAACTGCTACTGCTAAGGAGTTTAGATTCGACTTCCGTTATCATTTTAACAATGGTCTTTCTTCTGTGTGTCAGCTTAAATTTCGGTCCTCGGCCAGAGCCCAGAACGACTCGCACGAAGCCCTTAACGCTACGGGCCATAAGGACTCCCTAAATTAAAGGGCCCCTGGGGGGTCCTTCTAGAACCCCATAAGGAATCATATTTAAAAACCCTAGAATACCCATGGAACCCTCTTTCGTAGAACCCCTCCAAGGGAACCCCATTATACAGCCCCAGAATACCGAGCGTCAGGCTTCGTCACGGTGCAGTCGGCTTCGACTCTCTGGATCCGCGCCAAGGCTCTTCGGGTGGCCTCGGCGTTTGGGGCTTTGGGGGGGGGGGGGGGGGGGGGGGGGTTAGGGGTTTAGGTGGTTTAGGGGGTTTAGGGGGTTAGGGGCATAATGGGGATTAGGGGATTAGGGTTCGGATTTCGGATTTGTTGCGAGAGTTTTGGCTGTTATTATACTATGGTATTGGGGATTGGAACTTTTATGCAGTGCTGAAGTCTTACTTGTTTAGGGCTTAAGGTTGTTTGGAGCCCCTAGCCCTCGAGTCCTCGATCGCCAAAAGTCTCCTTAGCCTTGATCTTCTTTCCCTCCCTTTCCCTCCAAGATCTGAATCCCAAGCAGCCCTGAAGCCGTAAAAGCCGCAACCGCCTCCCCCACATCCTAAACCCTCAAAACCTCTGAATCTTCACTTCAACGCCGCCCACAACTACGAAGCAGAGGCCCCAAGTCGCCCCCGAAAAGCTGCAGAAGTCTGAACTTTGTCATAGTTGGGTAACATCTTACATGTTTATGGGTACTTAAACTCAATAAGGAATGAAAATATACATTTTGAATCCTATCCCAATCATGAAGTAGTGAAGAGAAGCCTTTGTCCCCAAATCCCAAAGCCCCAATCCCGAAAGCATCCGCAAATCCTAAGCGTAAGCTTAGCTCGAACCGCGATCCGTATGCATACACCACCTCTACAACCGATAGGCTCTTTGCACCATGCATATGTGGCTCTAGTTGAAGCTAGTAGCTGAGTACATCACCTATTCAGCCTTTGTGAGGCCCATGTGTAACTTTATAACGCTGCCATAGTTCTCAAGATCAATTTCTTTTGAGTCAGAAAAACTCAAGACCCCCACAAGAGCCTTGTAAAGAACATGAGAGTGCCATATGACCCTAAACACTGAACCCAAAACCCTAGAAACCATATGAAATCGTATAAACCCTATTAAGGCTTATAAACTTTATGACGCCTTTTAAACCCTATTGACCTTTTGAGAGGAGCCAATTGGTTTCGACCTGGGCTCCGCCTTCGTCACCGGGCCAGGGGGGACCGGGGGAGGGTACAAAATTGTAATGATAATTCTAGAATTATAGTACTTTTGCTATTATAGAAGTACAGTATATTGGTTTTAGTTTAGGGCTTAGGCTTTAGACGCAGCAGTAGCAGTAAGAAGTGACAGCAGAAGCAGGAGTGCAAAGACGAATGCAGACAGTAGCGACGACACTCACGGAAACCATCGTCATAAGCAGCATCCTGATGACCATGATGACAACGCGGAACACTGAGCGACACACACACACACACGCATATCAGAGGGAGACAGGATCCGCACACCTTGCGCATGTTCTGTGACCTCTTCTGCACTCTGCAGGTTACAGCCCAGCGCTGGACATGGCCAGGGTGACACGATGGAGATTGAGATGAACATAAGCCACGCACTCAGCACAAGCTTGGGTAGTGACTACCGCCTTCGAATGTCCGGGCCTCCATCGCAAGATGAGGTGTCTCTTCCCTGGGCGAATGCTCCCTTTGTGTAGCCGTCCTGCCTCAACTCTGACCTGACGCTGACCTGCGGGCCTAAACCCTAACCTGAGGAGTTCAGGATGTAGGCCATCACACCCGGAACCTGAGCCAATGCCCCGCATGGCCCTCGATACGACTTACACTTCCCAAGGTTTGAGAAAATACCGGGAATCCAAGATTTCTCTCACATAAAGGATCCTTAGTATAGGAACGCGATACGGCCTACACCAGTAATGCCTGAACTCTAAACCCTAATTACTAATTTCTGAACCCCCCTGGCAGGTGCAAAGCAGCAGATCTCTATCGAGTTGGCCAACGTGCGCCTTCCGCTCGAAGGCTTTGGCCGGCTGTTGGGTGTACTTGGAGGGTCGGGGGACTTAGTAACTGGTTATTTTAGGGACTTATAAGTACGATAACCCCAATTAGGGTCCCTTTTAGGGTACTTATAACTCTACTTACTACCTACTTACTAAGTCCCCCGACCCTCCAAGTGCAGCTTACAGCTTAGGGCAGGCTATACACAAGTGGGATCTGCATGTATACAACTATGCGTGCATGTGTATACCTATGTCTGTATATGTCAAATGTACATTACATATATACATATACATTTGCATATACATATACATATACATATACATGAATACCCGCATGCGTGTCGTTGTGTATGTACAGTACAGATAAATTCAGACATCGTCACAGCTGTTTGAAGGTGACAGCAAGTTGCCATGGCAGATTCTAGCAGTCGAGAAGTACAGCTCTGAGCTGGCCCTCGCTGCTTCGACAATTCGCACAGACTTGCTTGTTTTATGGTTCCTGAGTTCTGGGAACTTTCGCAGGCGGGGCATCTCTCTTCGATGCACGGCGCTTGGAGTGCCAAGACTTCTTGATTAATCAATTCACTAGCGATTCATTGGTTGTCTTGCAAAGATTAGGTGGCATCTTTTGCAGACGTGCTGCTTCCTCTAGATACTCCTTGTCGCAGCAGTGGCTGCAGTAATCGAAGCAGTCCAAGGTCAGTAGTTGATAGCAGTAGCAGTAGCCGTGCTGTAGCAGGAGGTGATGTCGAACTGTGCGCCCCATTCACTACAAAGCTTTATATGACCACAGTCAGCTGCTCGTAGCACCTTTTTCCCGCCAGTGGAAAAGACTCGAGGGTGAAGGTTGGCAGAACCCAGAACCTGAAGTTCCCCAAACGCAGTCACCGCAGGCTCAGGGCAATTTTCCTTACTAGCAGGCAGAGGGTTTCGGAGTTGTTCCGCTTTTCTTATTGAAGGCTCAAGATATCGCTTCGGCGTGGCGTTTGTGCTTATATGAGTCCTACGAGAGTGCCGGGAGTGTCTTTGGTGGGCTTTTGTTTCAAGCAGCTGCAACTACTGTACAACTGTCAAAGCCAAGATGACAGTCGTTTACAGATGCGATGGTTCGAGACTGCCTAAACCCAAAACCCTGGAACACAAATTCAGGGATATACTGGTACAGCCGAGGATCTCGAGTCATGATATGCCTCGTTATTCTGTTTGTAGAATTGTCTAGATCTTGCGTTTGCAATGCCCAGCTGAGCCCCTTGGTCCCTCGTGCCCTTTGACTGCCCAGATTGTGACCTACAACGGCTCCACCGTGCAGGAGCCACGTTTGCATTCTGCAAATGTTAGGCCTTTATGATACGATGAACTGGGAGTTTGGGATCCTCTTTCGGGGCCCCCAACAAAGGACTGCTAACTTGTGAAAAACCCCATGTAGTCGTCTACGGCGCAGCGTGCATTCGTGGTTTGCTGCTTGCAGATCCTTGACTCCGGCTGAGATAGCCCCTCTGCTCTCTGTCTTGGTCGGAACTGCCCCGGGCGCAAGAGAGCTCATTGGCAGGACAGCGTCTACGATGTTCCGGGCTTCCTGATTCCTGCCCACGTCGCGGTTTCCGACATCGTGTTGCTGAATTCGTGCGCCACCGCTGCCACACAAATCCCACACTCGTCCTGGTCAGTCTCATGTGAGACAAGACAGTATGCAAAAGTTTGCAATGCATCATAGTATAATGTAACGCAATGTAATGCAATGAAAAGTAGTGTTAATATAATGTCGTCCGAATGCTCATGTTGAGGTACAAGCAGGACACGAGCAGCCAGCGGAGATCTCAGTGTTCCATGCCGGCCACAGGCTTCAATCACTTCCTAAAATTCCGGGCTGTGAGATAGGTGGGTAAGGAAGGTTACAGTTTAAGGTTCAGGGTTTGAGGTTTAGGGGCTTGGGGTTCACGGCAGACACTGGCTTCGGGATCAGGATCTAGTCTGTCAGGTCCGTAAACCCCCAAAACCCGTCGTTTGCAGTGGGTTTTCGCTAGCTGTGCTCTGAGCCTCCACGTGGTGTTGCGGTTCCAGATCATCTACTCTGCCTTGCAGCCCGGAGTACCGTATCAAGAACAGACCTGGACCTTGACCTTAAGGTCCTAAGGACCCCTAATGCTAAGCCTTTTGACCCTATATGTAGACTCCAGCGTGCTGAGGTTCGCTGTGGAGGCGACATTCGGAAATCGCTACTCGGCTCGCGTTCAGGATCTCAGGGCTTTGAACCTTCAGGGCTGAGCTTGATAGGAGGGCTTGATTAAGTGGAGACAGCTGGGAGATAACGATAGAAAGAATTAAAAGTGTGACCCACATTGATTCACATTGAATTTTATGGAAAACTGTATATTGCTCTACCTTTCTTAAAATGGTTGGATCGACAGGTTCATTCTCGAACCCCAGCCCCGCTTGAGAACTCGCCTGACTGAATCCCCCCGAACCCTGGTTCCTGACGAAATCTTTTCAAAAACCGGATCAACTCAGCACAAGAACAAGCTAACCGTCCCCTAAACCCAGAGGAGGCCCTAAACCCTAAACCCAAAGCTCAACCATAACCTCAACTTACAAGGTCCCCCCAACTCGCCCCCTGTCTTCCGCCGCGCGAGGCTACGGCGAAACGGCCAAACTCAGTGTGCGGCCGTTGCCTCAGTCACTTAGAGGTTCGAGGGACGATGATATACTGTACTTTCGAATAGGAACCTTACGGTATTGCTAAGTATTTAGGCTTCTAGATTAGTCATGGTGTAGAAGTAGATAGAGTAAGCTTACCGATGGCCATTGCTTGCCATCTCGCCTGATATTCGAAGTAGGGTTCAGCAGCTCAGCAGGCTTTACGGCTTAGGTTTAGGGTAGGGTTTAGGGTTAGGGCTTTCCATCAGGGTAGGTTGTAGAAGCGCTCTACAGGGTGTATATGGGGTAGTGTTATAGGGGCAGACACCCCTGAAGGTTCAAGCTTGTCGGGCTTAGGATTTATCCAAGGGCAAAAGGAGGGACCCTCAATAAGGACCCCTAGGTATATACCCTTAATATAGCTATTATATACCCATTATATAGCCCATTATAGGCTAGGGGTCCCCCTTAAGGGTCCCTCCTTTTCCGCTTTGAATTTAGTTAAGACTTCAGTTTGAAGATCTGGCCGCCCAAGGCTTGAGGCTTGGAGTTTAATTATTAAGGCCCCGATACTATAGAACCCTACTATAGATTCCCTTATGGACCCCATTTAAGGAACCCTTTAAAGGGAACCCTGTAACCCCATTCTAAATATTCAATAGTGTACGGTTTAGGATTTGCGATTTCCCGCCTATGCCTTGACGCCGAGGGATTGGGATCTGAGGTTGAGGGTGTCATCGATCTAGCGAAGGCTGGAAACCAGGCGAGAGAAGAGATGTCCGGCTCGCAATTCACTATCGTTTTGTGTGAGTGCTTGGGGTTTTTGGGTTTCGGGGTTTAGGGTTTGGTTTCTTTTGCGGTGTCATCTTCAGCTACGTATAGTTGCATCCCCGAGCACTGGACCTCAAACGCTAAACCCGAGCCGATATGGAGACACTTGTAGTAACCCTTACAGGAACCTGTTTACGAAACAGGGACCGAAGATTTCCCCAAAGGGCTTTAACAAGCCTCGAAGAGGCCGTTAAACCCCAAAGCACCGCCCCTGAGAGCCTGCCAGGTGGGCTTTGAGCTCTGCCATACCACCCCAGCCGCGAGCCTGGTGCTGGTTTCTAGTTTTGGAAGATGGGATCATCTCAACGGTCTGCCGTTTAAGGGTACTATAGGGTTCCCTTTAAGGGTCTATACCGTATAGGCTGTTAGGATGTTATGGCTGATGCTTGCTACAGAGGCTTTCGAGAAATGTAGGATTAGGGTCTAGGCTGCTTCGAGTCAGCGGAGTGGAGGCAAGGAGTGTGATGCAGCGTTTACGCCGTCTGTGACTCTGAAACGGCAGGACTCTCGCACCGTGGTCCACTCCGAAACCTACCCTAAACCGAAACCTAAACCCTAAACCCCTAAACCCTAAACCCCTAAACCCCTAAACCCCACCCTCAAGCCCTGCACCCTGAAAAGCCGAGCCGTGCTCCGATGTTTCCGGAGACCCCAGGTCGATGCTGAAGATTGCAGCGGCGCAGCCACCTCGGTTTAGGGTTTAGGGGTTTAGGGGTTTAGGGGTTTAGGGGTTTCGGGGTTTCGGGGTTTAGGGGTTTAGGGGTTTAGGGTTTAGGGTCCATCCCTCCATTGCAAAACAGCCACCATCACTCTGCATATGCGGAGTAGGGATCTTGATCGCAGTTCAGTCGAGAGTGTCCCAGTTGAAGGATCCCTACCACAAGAGACTCTGGTTTTCCGACGCCCCAATACCAAGAAGGCTTCGAAAGAAGGGAGCCACCGGACGTTCCCGCCCCTCGTCTCACCCGAAGTTGTGCTCCCAGACATTTGAAAGAATGTTTGGCAATTACCTACAGCATTCCTGGCGGCTCTTCTTGCTTATGACTATGTTACAACATTCCCCAGAAGCCCATCATAACTCTTGAGGCCCCCATAGGGGGGGCTCAGGAAATACCGAGACTATTACTTAGGGGCTGCGCATACCAGGTTATCTGTAATCAGGGGCTATTCGGGTACCGATGCATGCTGCCTAGGTACTGGCAGTTCGTACCGGGCACGTCCAAAGCCGCGATCAGAGCTCTGGGGGATGGGTCTGCGATTATTTGTGCGTGTGTGTGTGTGTGTGTGACGATTTCAGTTGCGTTCGAGGTTGTCTTGATTAACACACGGAGTCCTAAGCCCGCAAATTCCTGACGCAAAGCCCCACCCCACCACAGAAAAACGAGGCGCCGTGCAAGGTGTGGGATTATGATTTCAGTTTCGGTCCAAATGAAACTTAGTCAGCATTCGGCTGCCAGTGAGAATACTGCAGTGGCTTCGTACTTTGTATAGTCAGACCTCCAGCTTGGCTTGCGCTGTTGCTTGGAGGTTCATGGGTAGTTATAAGTGGGGTTTAAGTCCTCGAATATGGGACATAAGTACAGTTACCCTACTTATAACCCTACTTATAGCTACCCTAAAACCCTAATCCCTATAACCCTGTAACCCTATAGATCCCTTGAAAGGAGCCCTACTTACAACTATCCATGAACCTCCAAGTGAAGCAGCCTGGCGACTCCTTACCGCCCCTTGTGTGGTGCTCTCGCTTAGTCCGAACAGAGATAGAAAGCGCGTGGGACATAAGATTTTTGTCCCACACACCATTGCTAAATAGACGATGATGCATTTTAGGACTGTGGGGTTTAGGCGAGTGAAAGCTCCGACTCTATGGAAGCTAAGACTCCATGGAACTAAGATCTCACGTTTGACGGCCCATAAAGCGCATGAACTCAGCATCCCCAGACTAAGATGGCGGAGAGTCGTCCAGACGGCACTGCAACAAGCCTGGCTCCAGATGTTGTGGAGGCCGGGTGGACATTTACCTAGGCTTAGGCATGCATGAACACATCCAGCCGTCCATCCATGCATGCATGCGTATATCCATACATGCAGATGTGTATTCATCTCTCTCATGCAGATGCTGTTCGTATTGCTTTAACTCCAAATTTCCGTGTTATATTTGCAGACGACCATAATCCTCTCAGCATTCGCCCGGAGATTGGCAGAACCCATGGATGTGTGTGAATCTGGTAGCTCAAAAGCTCTTGTTTAAGTTAGCATCTGTAGCTTGTTACTGCCTGGACCTCGTCTCTAGAACCATCCAACAAACTTTCCCAAACCGCTCAACCCTACTTGGAGGTTCATGGGTAGTTATTAGTAGGATTCTAAGTCCCCTACTATGGGTTGTAAGTATGGTTAACCTACTTGTAACCCTACTTCTAACTACCCATGAACCTCCGAGCAGAGACTCTAAACAAGCTCTAAAACTGCGGAAACCTTAACTTTCGAAGGCGAACCTACAAAGACTCTAAACAAGTTCCAAAACAGCGGAACCCGTCCCCCTCCACCCAGAGACTCCAATACCCCTTAATTAAGGAATATACTTTACATTATAGTAGGACCCCTAATATTGTTTAAGGGATATTCCTTGAAATTATAGTAGGATCCTTAATATGGTTTAAGGAATATTCCTTAAAATTATAGTAGGATCCTTAATATGATTTAAGGAATATTCCTTATAATTATAGTAGGATCCTTCCTTAGTATGATTTTTGGAATATTCCTTAAAATGATGGTAGGATCCTTAATATGATTTAAGGAATATTCCTTAAAATTAAAATAGGATCCTTAATATGATTTAAGGACTATTCCTTAATTAAGGGGTATTGGAGTCTCTGGGCATTCCCAGGAGGGAGCCTCCTTGAGCCTGCGCTTGGCCACTGGTCTTCGGCCCTCCAGGCGCTACAGCGTGCCTTTAGTTTTAGGGTTTAGGGGTTTAGGGGTTTAGGGTTTAGGGGTTTAGGGTTTAGGGTTTAGGGGTTTAGGGTTGAGGGGTTTAGCGGTTTAGGGTTGAGGGTGTAGGGGTTTAGGGTTTAGGGCACCTACTTGCCTTTAGTTTTAGGTTCCTGAAGGAGGGACCCTTAGGCTGTTAGGGTTCCTTTAAAGGGATCTACAAGGGTCCCTTTAAAGGGATCTATAGGGTTTAGGGTTTAGTTTAATCAAAGGGGAAAAGGGGGACCCTTAATGGGGACCCATACCCTGTAATGGGCTATATAATGGGTATATACTAGCTATATTAAGGGTATATACCTAGGGGTCCTTATTAAGGGTCCGTCCTTTTAACCTTGGAGTTAAGACTCCCTATTTTAGGGCTACGAGAATCAAAAAAAAGTGGGGGCCTTGAAAGATGTCCTACTAGGGATACGATAATCGTATCAGGGTACTGTAATATAGTTTCATATAGGGTCCTTTCAGATTTCGTATTAGGGCGATCATAAATCAACGACATACATGATTTGATATATGGTCCTGGAAGGCTCGCTTTAAAGGGTTCCAAACCCTGCGTTCTGAGCCATAAACCCTACATTCCAAACCCGAAACCCTAATCTCTATTCTTAATGCTTCAAACCCTCACAAGCCTGGAGGCTTGCAAGCTACATGATCGAGGTGGAGGTTCTTGCGCCCACGCTTCTTGGCAGCAGCCGCCATCTTTAGGGGTCTTTCCTGGCCTCAGTGACTTGATTCAAAGGTTGCGACAACGGTTCCAGAACATAGGGCCCGGAATGATTTGAAAAAGGGCTTGAGGAGTAGATTGTAGTATGTTTGTACAGGGTATATTTGTAGTAGAACTGATTAGGGATAATAGTGGGTTGCTATTGCTTGTTATTCACAGACCTCTGAAGCTTGTACAATGACATGCGTGTATTCTCACTGTTGCCATCAACATCAACCTCAACACGATCATCGGGAACTGCATTTACAACTTTCTTCAACTGTGTGAGTGGGAGCATGCAGGTTAAGAGTGTGGTGCTGCACCGTCTTTGTTTGAGCAATCGCACTTTACAAGCGCTGCCCGCCCTTTTAGTCGCAACACCCTCAACCGAACAAGGACACCCCAGAAGCAGTTGACCGGGGTCCATAACCCATGTGAGTCTAGGGCCTAGGGTGTTTATAGTAGGACGGGAGAAAGACGAGTTCTTCGGTGTTCATGGTGCCTAAATTCTACTCAGGACATAAAAGCTCGACTTAGGTAGGATACAAAAGGCAATCACGGGAAGCCCAAAGCGGCAGCTCGCGACCTTCCAAGATTCCGGCCTCCTGGTTCCAGATCGCAGAGACTCTGCAAAGCTCAGTTACAGTTACTAGTATGCCTAGACGGCTGCTCTTATGATAACAAGGGTGAGGCGGCGTACCTCTTGGGAACAGACTTGAAAAAGGAATGCCTGCTACGCTAGAGGTGCAGAAAGCACCTGTTAGGATCCTCATATCTTCGGAAGAAGCCTTATTATAGTTATACTACAACGGGCCCCAAAACCCTACTCTAATTATTAAGACCCCTAAATCCGAGCTTCGGATTGAACCCATATCCGGGGACTTATAACCCCACTCAAAACTACCCATGAACCTCCAAGTAGGCCCTAAACCCGATACCCATTAGAACCCCTATAGAGCGCTTCTGAAAGCAGGCCCAGCCAATGCCTCTGCTTCGGCTCTGGACTCTGTCAGCAGCCCGACCGCAAGGGTGAGCTTCCCAGAGACTCCAAAACCCCTTAATTAAGGAATATACCTAGGGTTCCTTTAAGGGATCTATATGGTTTAGTATCCCTTAATTAAGGAATTATACCATAAATCATATTATAAGGGATCCTCATATAATTTAAGGTGTATTCCTTAATTAAGGGGTTTTGGAGTCTCTGGGTTTCTAGCCAATCTAGGGAGGTCCACTGGGGCGGGAGGGGGCCCCAAAAATAGTGGAGGTAATGACTATAGGGCCTAGGGAGGTCCATGGGGGCCTTTAAAGGCTGTTGGCCTTGGGGTTTACGGGTTTGGTGTTAGGAGTTTCGTTGAGCTTTTAGGGCAACTGTCGGCTGAACAAAACATTGTCTCCGCCTGACCAAACCCAAATCCGCCAGCCCTAAACCCTAAACCCTAAGCCTTCAACCGTTCCAAAAAATGATGACAAAACCCTAAACCCCGAAGCTGCAAATGCTAAATCCCGAGTTCCTAACCTGAAGTGAACCCTTATAAACTCTTAAGAACCTTCTTGTGCAAACTTTATGGCAGCCTTAGGAAACCCTAGAGTTCGAAGCTCCCTAAAGGCCCTAAAGGGGATGAAAGAAGCCTTCGCCAAAACAAACCTCCTGGCCGAACCTGGGGCTCTTCAGGGTTAAGGGCCTTATGCAGGTTTCAGGAGGGGTTCTATAAGCTTGTTGGGGCTGATCTTAAGTTGACTGCGAATCATCAGAAGAAACAGTTTCAAACCCGAGTCACCAGAGCTTGAACCCCAAAGCCCCAACAGCCTGAATCCTCAAACCCCGACCCTTTCGCCATCACAGGCTGTGCCAGACGAACTGGTCCATGGAGGCGGTATGGGGGAGGGAAAAGTTTGCGGAGGCTGTTGGCCAAAATTAAGGGGCCTAAATAATTACCAATACTATTTCGGGGGGGATTCCTCATTATAAGTATAGTGTCATAGCCCCCAAAACCCTACTCTAATTACTAAGGCCCCTATAGAATATGGATTTAGGGCTGTGCTCGGGGTATTGAACATATAGGGCTTGTCAATTTGACAGGGCCTAAACGATTCATACATAGGGCGTGGGGTTTACGGATTTCTGGGGTGTAGGGCTTGCAAGACCTACATGCCGTTGCATAAAGGGATGCTCACGGTTGGCTTCAGGTCGAGGGAGCGACAGAGACGAGCAAAGTCCTGCGGGAATCCAAAAACTCTCACCACTACAGGGTTTAGGCTGCATGGTTCCTGAATGATAACCCACAGGCCTGCAAGCAGACAACCCAGAGACGTAAAGCCCCTGAAGAAATGTACTGGAGCATATTCTGCGCAAGAACGTATTCTAGTTAGCAAGATCTCTGCATGATTTTGGGTGTGGTTGAACTTCTTTGGGTTGTCTCTTGTTTAGCGAAGTTACATATGGGGTTCAATAATTTTTATGTGCCGCCCAGCAGGTCCTTGACGCTGCTGACGTTGTCATCGCGACAAACGACGCGTTGCTTGTAGGCGATCTGGGCTTAATCGTTACAAGAGGCTTCCCTTGAGGGTTCCCCTCAAAGTTCCATCAAAGGGTCCGAAGGGTTCTAGAATAAGGGTCTTTTTGGATCTGGGGTCGTTATGAGTAGAATGGTGATTGGGCAACTACTCTGGTATATCACATTTAGCTACGGGCGTTTGGTAGCTTCGTGCGGATTTTTTAACTTCTTCACGATTACATCACGGGACCTGCAGGGGATCTAATTACAAGTTATTCATAAACTTCAATCTTGATGACTAAACCCCAAGCACTATCAGGTTTAAACAGCAAGGACCGCTACGAGCGCGTGGGTCGGCTGTGAAGGGCAATGAACCTCTGTAGTACCCAGCTGCGTGTAGCAAGAATGCCAGAAGCGTATCGGTAACTTTTTTCCTTTACATAATTCTAGATATATATATATATATATATATGTATATGTAGAGATGTATGTAGTTGTGTATGAATGCATGTACGTATACATGCATGGACGAACGGATGCATGTATATGGACGTAACTAGGTCTGTGTGTATGTCTGTATATATATATATATATATGTATGTATGTATATGCACAGTCATTCGTATGGTTTTTCATCATAGACCAACCACTTTGGGGGTTCTCAGCCTCTTCAACACAGCCAAACAGCTTTGCATCACAAGCAAACGAGAACACATGAGCAGATAGGCAGAACAAAAGGTCGATCGACAGATAGGTGGAAGGTAGGCAGATGGGCAGTGGCCAGCCTGAGAGGTAGGCAGGTAGATAGGTAGACAGACGGGAAATAGACACATGCATGCGTACATACATACGCACATGCATGCATTCATATGCGAGATTGTGCATACGTGCATACTCAATTAATGTGTCCATGTTTTACTTCGCTGCCTTGTTTAAACAGTCATGTGATGGCTCCTTCTCCGCTTTCTAAAGACTTCTGGCCAGCAGCCGCAAGCACGGCCATCCTGGTCTCTTCGGCACTGGTGTGTGTTCGGTTGGATTGCTCCTTTCAGTGCAACTGTCAGAGCATATGCGCTGCCAAGCATCAGAAGCCCAAGTCGCCAGCCCTGCACCTGAAGCAGGTTTCCCTCTCGTCTCGGAGGCACCTGCTGTCTGCTGTGTGAGTTTGCGAGGGTGGGCCAGGCTGAAGATGTTTGAAGGAAGTCGGTAGACAGATCACCCCGCTTGCAGGAATGGTCTGGTAGTTTCGCATGTAAATCTCACAGTCATGAGGGGTACCTATTGGCACATGCGCCACAGTCTTGGAAGGTTATTTGGGATGTTTTTGCCTTGCGGGCGCCGCCTCAAGCTCTGCTCGCCGGGGCCCTGGGCGGCTGTCCCAATGCTTCTCGAAATGCTTTGGGAGCACAAAGTGCATACCTCTAAGGCAAAACACGGGGAGTGTTCAGGTAAGGCACGGTTTGGAGCTCAAGTTGCCGAAGAGATCACTGGAACTGAAGATTTCTGAACGTGAAGTTTCGATGTCCTGGGCTTGGAAACCCGCGGGTCGTTTGTGTTCAGATTGCGTCTAGGTGAAGGGCGGAGTCCACAGAATGTTTCCCTTGGGAAGCACTTGTGTCTGAGGACGTTACACTTCGTCTCACTACCGTTGGCGCAGTGCCGGCTACCGCTCGGGCCCAAGCCAGAAGAGTCGAAACGGCCTCTCACCGACGCGGCGGCGTCGAGTTCAAGTTTGTTAGCGGGCTTTGGCCGCCTGAAGATCCCCGGACCGGAGCCTTCAGACAATCCACGCGTTAAACGTCGTAAAATCCACATGAGCCCCTACCTTCCAAATCCAGGTGCTGATGGTCACAGCACCTTTTGGATACGAGTTCCCGCGCTTGCCCGAGAGCTGTGGTCTTGATGAGCGGAAGGGCAGCAGAACCCGGAGACTCCAAGATCCCTTCGCGTTTTCAAGTCGTCCCGTACAACAGCAGGGATTTTAAGCGAGGTGCCCTTACTTCAGGGTGTCAGGGATGTCGGAGGTATGTTGAGGATCCAGGAAGGGTGCTTCTTGTTCGTTGGCGGGCGCCTGCATCTCTTACAAAACCTGAGGAGTTAGAGCTCCGGGAGTATACTCTAAACTTTAAACTCGATAATTCAGGGGTCCCTGCGTGCGCCCCATCAAGTGCAGACGACGCTAACGCTTTTATGACTAGTGACTAGTGATATAGCCTATACCCCTAGCCCTGAAGATTGAAGTGTCCTTCAAAGAGCCAAATGCCATATCATTAACCTGTCAACACTTGCGACCCCAACCCGCAACCCCTAAACCAAGGAAGTCTGCGAGAGATAAGCTTGAACCCCCAATAGCAACCTAGACGGATGGATACAAGTAAGTAGCAAACATGTAGTTGCAATACTACCACCATTGAGAACAACAATAAGACAACAAATACAGCAATAAATAACAGAATCAGGTACCAATGCTTCGCGCTTCTGGCGTTGAACGGCACCGTGGCAGGGCTTCCTGCAGCGGAGCCCAGATCTATGGGGTTCGTTCGAGAAGTTCTGAAGTCTTGGCATCATCGAAGCAGGGTGTGTAAGGCAGCCCTAACGTGAAATGGGTGTTTCGGAATACCAGGATGCCGTGAAGGTTCGAAGGAAGCAAAAGGCAAAAGACCGGCTCTGAGGGGAGAATTTCGCGTATGTTGTTCAATCTTGTAGCTTCGTCACAAACGATCCTGCGCAGAGACACAGAGTTTACGCTAACCGTTCGAGGGAGAGAGAGAAGAGAGAGCGAGAGAGAGAGAGAGAGAGAGAGAGAGACAGAGACAGAGACAGAGACACAGAGAGAAGAATTAAGCAGGAAAGCAGCCCATGTAAGAAAGCCTCCTTTACAACCCCTAAACCATAAGCCATAAAACCATAAAACCCGAAACAATAACCGGCCTTTGAAACATGACCTCGTACTGAGTTCGATAGTGAGCTATCCTCGCTTTAGCCCGCCGAAGCCTCACCCTAGACTGTTGTAAACCCCTGAAGATCTTCACTCCGAGTCCTAAAATGACCCCAAAACCCATTGTAGACCGTACAACCCAGAAATCACCCAAGTCCGAAAGAGCAGAAACTATGTGCGGCTCTATTCTGCGTGCCTTCCTAGGGCTTCCAAATGTTCTGTCAGATGCTGTCATGATTTGCGAATTCGATGTTTGGAGAAGTAAGAAGCAAGATCGACCTGAGAATTAGGAAAATCTTTCCTTTTGGTTCCTACATGGCTGGATCTTAATCTACCCAGCACCCTAGTCTAACTCTCCTGTATTAAGCCGCGCAAGACCCGAAAGAAGCCCTCTTATCGCACAAACAGGTATTGAGACCCTAGAGCCCTAGAGAACCTGTTTAGAGGTTTGAATAATCAGCAAAACTATCCTTGTAAAGTAGAAAGCCCCTATAAACTACCCCGCGACAAGGGCTCCGATCGTCCTAGCAACCTGTGTGTATATACATATATATATATATATATCCATAGATAGATATGCATATATATATATATACATATATATATATATATATGTGTGTGTCGTCCATGTTTCTCAGGTCTTCACCCAATGCACCGGGCGCTTGAACAGTGCCGCGCTGCTTCTGGATGACCAAGGCAAGCCCTATTTTCTTCATATAAATACGTTCAGGAGCCGGTAGCAATTAGATCAATGTAGTATTCCTACACAGTAACCAAAATGCGAGAGTCCGGTCGTTTCGGATGTCTCGACCTTTAGGCTCTGGTAAGAGACCCTCAGGGTCTCGGGTAGTATGGGTAGTCTTTTCGATAGTTTAGACCACTTAACATTTTAGAATTCACAAGGCCCTTGAAAGGAGCGCCCTGTACGCTACCCAACATTTCGGTCCTTAATCGGAGACTTCGGACAAGAGTTTACCGATTCTCCCCCCGCGGCATGAATGGCAGCGGGAAGGAGCGTGTAACATTTCGGTCCTTAAACTCGTAGAATTAGATCCTTGCATCGGGCAGATAGCACTGCGGGAAGTCAAGGTTCTTCGGAAAGAACATGACACCAGTCCATTGTGCGCAGTTGCCATATAGGAATTGCAGGAACCATTGCAGGTACAAACCCCTGAAATTTTTCGCCACCGAAAGCCGCAGGCCTCTACCGCTCCAGCAATCTCCAGCTGCGGGTGACGACGCCCAGAACTCCTCCGCAGGACAATCGATGGTGCCCCCCGGGAAAACTTCACAGCTTCCGTCCGGTCGTAGCTCTTGCAATTAGGGACCCCAAAAGCACATAAGCACAAGCATTTTATGGGGATATCCCTACCTTATTGGGCTTCATTATATGGTTTTTTGGGGCCCTATGCAACAGAGACCGAAAGGTCTAAGCCCCAAAATATTTGATCCAAAGTGCTTCCTTACCTGCAGCCCACTGAAAGGGTTCGAGAAAACGAACCTCACAACAGATACCCTAGCCGTAAATGCCTTTCATCAGTCTCTAGTTGGAGCATCGGGGACAAGACCGCGACAATTGTGACCTCTGACAATTGTTCATCCCAGCACAGCAAACCGCAACAAAGAGCAGAAATAAATCAAATGCAGGTACATCCAAGGGCGGCTGCGGGCTACGAACACCGAGGCATCGAAGAGCGGTCCGATAGAACGGTGGGAGCTTTTGAAGTCTTTGTGTTGCTTTAACCCTTCTACAAGAGTATTACCGGAATTAGGATCTAGCCTCCGACTTGGAGTTTCGGGTTGGTGTCATCAGATGTACTGCCTCTGCAATGATGTGGTGGTCTGGCTGGGGCTACTGTTGCGGTAACAACTACAAGTATCCACCCGTTGCTGTCAATGTTGCCATTATGTAGCAGCAACAGCAGCAGCAGCAGCAGCAGCAGCAGGAGTAGTAGTAGTAGTAGTGGTAGTAGTGGTAGTAGTAGTGGTAGTAGTAGTAGTTGTGGTAGTAGTGGTAGTAGTTGTTGTTGTGGTAGTGGTAGTACTACTTCTTCTTCTTCTTTAGGTCGCTTCCGTGGCCTGGGCCAGGTCTGTTGGGGCGTTGCGGCTGGCCTTCCCAGCCAGCAGATGACGTCCGGGCGGCCCAGAATTCAGACTTTAGGGCTTTGGGGGGGTTACTATAGAGGCCATTAAACAATGGGGTCTTGAGGGGTTACTATAAAGTGAGCTATCCAGAAATCAGAGTCGGTTGTGGTGTTTGTTTTTTGGAGGGGGGGGGACATACTGAAATAGCAGGTTACTGTGCGTTCAAGAGTTTGGGACTTCGGGTTTATGGGACTACTTAGAGCCTGGTGGGGGGGGGGCACATTAGTAGCAAGAAGAGGGTTCCTTTAAAGGGTTACTATGGGGTTTAAGGCGTTTCCCAGCAAGCACAGTTGGTTTTGGGGGGTTTTACATACAGCCTTTAGGAATTGGGGATTTCGGGTGGTCCGCGTCGGACCTAGGCCGTACAAGAAAAAATGCCCCAAAGCTCTGTTCGTATCACCAAGGCCCTATGGTGCCCTGAACACCAAACTCGACAAGTCTCGGCATCCATTCTTACATAGGGCCCACGACAGCTAGGTTCTGCAGAAAAACCTCGAGCGACTCCGTTAAATCGACACCTGCCCTAAAGAGTAAACCCCAAGTACACTATCCCCCAAACTTCGCACAACGGCAGGGCCCTAAACCATAAACCCTACTGTAGGGGCCTATAGTTACAGTACAATATACTGCAAAGCCCTATCTAAACTCTTGCGGCCCCGCATATTAGCCTCAAAAGCAACTCACCCGTAGCCCGGAGTGCCCAGGGACGTCTCCGTGGAGTTCGCTGCTTTGCAGACGCAGGGGGCCCTGCAAACTCCAAGGCTTCTCCAAGCGAGGAGTGTTGATATGGCGTGCCTTTAACAGTGGAGTACGGTTTCTTGAGAAGTTCCATAAATAGTGACCTTAAATTGTCGGTTGCGTTTTGGGATAAAATAACGGCATTTCTGCCTCCCCTTCGTGAGCATGTCTTGACTTCTGCATGATAGATGCTCAGGGCCTGCGATAAGGACTTTGTACTTGAGGGTTGGTTCATGGGGGTAGTTGTAAGTAGGGCAGCTCCAGCTATAACCCATATGAGGAGACTTATAATCGCACGTATAACTATCGATGAGCCTCCAAGTAGACTTCAACCCAGACTTCAACATGCCTGGTCAACGAAGGGTCCCTTGCAAGGATAATAACTTGGCAAATGGTCACACCCTGACTGAGGTCCTGGAGTCTCTCTTTTGTTCAGAACCAGCTGTTGCTTAAAGCGGATGTTCCTTGTATGTGGGCTTGCTTGCTCAGAAATTGGGACCTTTCGGACACCACAGGATTTACATGTACCAGCATTGAGGGTTAAGGTTTGTAGCATCGTTGACAACACATCGAGGTTGTTGTAGACGAGTGTCACTAATTTTCATTCGACTCCTGCTAGGTCCTCAAATCTTGCACCGTCTTTATCCATCGCGAACGATCTTTTGACCCGGTGCCTTAGCGGGAACCCCAAATTCAAATCGGTCAGCCTTGATATAGTAGTACTTTTTTCGAGAAGCATGAGGCCAACCATAAGGCCCTTTAGTATCTGTAGCGGCCAGAAAGCACTCGGCCTCGCATCCGAGGTTGCACACGGTATTTCTATTGCGGGTGACTACAGAAGTGGAGGCACACTCTAGTCGCTGCCTTCACCCGCATGTCTGGTATCATGCTTCGCATGAGCTAGGCTCTGCGCCACGGGCTCGGGCTTTGGGACTTCAGTGGGCACAGCTTTTGGGGCTTCTTCGTTTTGGGATTATTGCTAAGTTCGAAGGCATTCTGCAACAAGGAGGCTTTCCTGCTTCACTCTACCGCCTCCAAGCACAATAGTAGCAAGCTCTACGTCTGGCATCGCTAAGGGCATCCTGAAGATGGATTACTGTACTATAGAGGACGGAGGAATTACCAACATTATCCCGAGGTTTCCTTGCAGAAGTTCTACTATCACTGACTATTCGGGCACGATGTTCCTCTCATGGTGCCCTGTGAAGGAACAACCCCCATTCCCAAGAACCTCACTGAAAACATACGTAGACAGCGAAACGATAGTACATAGACTAGGACAAATACTTCCTATCTCTACATCTCTATATATATATATATACATATGTGCGTACATCCTAGGTATGATACCCTCAAGTGATACCCTGAGGTGAACCTTACAGAAGGCATTCGAATGAAACCCTTTGCCTTCAAAGCTTCGCAAAAAAACTGTGGAAACTCCCTAAAGCCACCACGTGAACCACGCCCTACGGCTCCATATGCCTATATAGTATCTACTTAGGCCTCAGTACCATGTCAAAAGCCCACTTAAGGCCGCGTATGTACTTCGAAGCCCTGTGAGGCCGAAGAAGATGCTATAGGGGCACATGGAGTCTTAGGGCCTTGGGGGCATCAAGCACTGCTTTCCGCTCGTCTTCACAGGTGGCTGCGGGAGGATCCTTGGCCTTAGCCTGAGATGCCATAGTAGCAATCACAATGGTGACATTTTGTCAGTACGAGCTAAGACGGCAACGGAAGCTGAAACAAAGCAGAAGGATACACACGTGACAATGTGCGAGGTCGTCATACCTCCTCCTGGCTATCTTCTCTCCTGCGCTGGACCCAGAGCTTAACAGAAGCCCGCAAGCCCAGCCCAAAGCTAAAGCCTTGTTGCCCGAAAGACCAAAAGATCCTCAGGACAAGACAGAGGGCTTCAACCGTAAAACCTTTAACAGCTACAAACCCCAACCTCTTTGAGCGTTTTGGGGCCGCATTGCCGCTGAGGGCGGCAGGGGCCTTTGAGCTTGAGGAGTTCTCGGTTCCCTCAACCCGAATCAGGCCTCTGAATAAAGCCCCAAATGGCACAAAAAACCCTGAACTCCCACCCCCACCCCTACCTCCCCGCCCAATTCCGAAAAGCCTAAACGCACAAATCCGAGAAAGTTCCGCTTCAGGTGACGGGCTGAAACTGTTCTTCGCCCCAGGAGTGGCGGGGTCCTTGGGGCAGGGCACAGAAGGGTTCTAGGCTTTAGGACGTGAGAGGTGGGGGCTGTTCAGGGCGCAAGGCTTCTTTTGAAGTTCAGGGCGCAGTTCAGGCCGCAGGGTGTGGTCTTGAGGGTTTTGGGTTCACAACCCTGAGGGGGTTTGCTGCGCAGCTTTGGTTGATTTGGGTACCTCCTGCAGGTGTAAACCCGAAGCTTCACCTTAGACAATCGAGTCTGTTCTGGTTATTCTGTTGGGACTTTCAGGAGACGGAGGCGCCTTTTGAGCTGGGAGTTGGGAGTTTATGCTTCTTATCATCTTCTCAGCCGTCCGATTTTGCCCCACTCTCTTCCTCTCCAGTCTCTCCGTCTCTCTCTCTCTCTCTCTCTCTCTCTCTCTCTCTCTCTCTCTCTCTCTCTCTCTCCGGCTACTTCAGCAATGCCCGGACTGCAGCCCAGGTGTCAGGAGACGAAACAGGCCTGGGGGCCCATCGCTGGGAGTCCGGGCTTTCGGGATTTCGTTTTCCCACTGCGAGAGCGCAAGCGCCTGAAAAACCTCGCAGCTTCGGAGCCACAAAGAGCCTCAAACCCAAACACCCTGCAGTTTAGGGCTCAGGGTTCACCGTAAAACTCCGAAGGCAGTCGATTGTACTTTGGCGTACAGCCCGAAGGAAGGGGAAGCGAGGGAGGAACCGGAAGAGGAGGGCGCGGAGGCGTAAGCCTATCCTGTTGAGTACACAAGGGGAGCTTTCAAGGCTTTCGACCGGAGCATGACAAGGAGGCCTCCGGGTAAACTTACGCCAACTCCAAAGTACCCTGAACCGTAATCCTAAGCCCAAGTCTTGAAAACCCCTATCATCAGATGACACTGAAAATAAGAAGCCATATACTTATACTGGAAAAATACATATATATATATATATATATATATACATATACATATACATATGTATATTATATACCCAAGATAAGTATACATATGGGACCCTGAGGAGAACCTTTCGAAAGGAGGGCCTTGTGGGTGTTTCACCGCATGAACCCATCCTGGAATGTGCCGCCAGGCCTCATCAGCTGCTCCAGCTATCGTCAAGGAACGGCGGTGTGTCCGAGTTCACGCAGTGCGTTGCAGCTAGATTTCGGAGTCACGGAAGAGCCGGCTTAGCAGGGAGAGTGCTGGTTCACCGTCAGTGCGATTCTATGGGGTATCGTGAGCTCGACTGCAGGCATCCAGATCGTGTTCGCCGCGACCATGCTGGCGGGCTCTCCGTATGCCTTTGGGCTCCAGGCGCCCCAGGGGTGTCGGCAAGAAGGAGTCAAGAAGGCACAGGAAGAACGGTGCGCCCAAAATTCGAAATCCCCCTAAGCCTCCAGCCTAAGCCCTACATAAAGCCCTGGTTCAGAACAAGCTGCGTGGGTGCGCTGCTCAATGCTGAGGGGCGCCCGACAAACCTTGGCTTTCGGTCCAGCGTTTGGGGTCGGGTTCTTGTAGATTCCACCTGCAAGCTCGCTGGCGTGTCTGTTCTACACATCCACCCCCCCGCTAGGTCCAAAACCCGTAAGTCCCGAAGCCCTTTAAATCCCGAGCCCTTCAAGACACCGAACAGGGTGGCACAGCAGCAGCCAGCGCTGCAGATCGTGACTCAGATGTCTTTTCGCTGCAGGCCTCGGCAGGTCTTAGATAGCATAAGGGCCCTTTATAATTAGAACAGGGTTTGCTGGTATATTATGTTTCCCGAATATTGTTCACAAATTTTCCCCCGCACTGAAGTGCTTTGCCCTTGAAGTTCTTTGTAGGGTTTTAGATGGGGCTCTGAGGGTGCTGCATTCAACGTTTCCTCATGTCAAGAGACTTCCGGGTTCCTACTTGTACGCGGCGGCGACTGCAGGGAACCAGGAGTTGCAGAAGACTTTGACAGAACTCTGGGCGTCACCCCTTGCCTACAGGAAACATAAAATCCTTTATGTGGCTCGACTAGCGGATGTCGACGTCTCCGAAGCGCAGACTAGGTAACAACCCCGAAGCATACTAAGAAAATAGGTGGGGGACCCTTTCGAGCGGCTTTCAAAACCCAAAACAGAGACCTTCAGAACAAAGGAACCTCTGGAAAAGCACAGCAACCATCGAAACCTCTGGCACAAGCAACCCTGTGGAAACCCATAGAAACCCTACACCGCAAACGCATGCAAGTCTGAACCGAAACCCCGAAGCCTCAACCCTGAACCACAACCCATGGTACAAGTCGGAGGCCTCAAAAGGTGGGATGAAGGTAGGTGGGATATTCCCAGATAAGAGTCCTTATATAAGGGATCCTTAATCCTACCTACCTTCATCCCACCTTTTGAGGCCTCCGAACTAGGAATCCCTTCGGAGTTTCCGTGAGAGGTCTTGAACCCCAGCGGCACAGTGGCGGAGTCGGCGCCCTGCAATCTCTTCCAACAGGAGGTGTTTCAATAGTGACAACAGCCTCAGAATAGGTGTTTACAAAGATTTCATAGGATTTCAATAGGCTATTGGATGGTTTTTTATATATGACCGAAGTGATTTGTGTAGGATATTGTACGGACTTTTCACCGCTTGCTGTAGCGTTGGTAATATTAATGTGTCAGACTGCAAAGGGATACTAATGCAAACCTCATACGTGAGGAGTGGGCACGTCTGTCTGCTTTCGTACTGTGGATTGACTACTGCGATGCAGACCTGGCGTTTGGGTTGTTGAAGTGGTCGCTTAAAATCCCGAAAGTCCTAAAGCACCACGATTCGCCTCAAGCCCTGAACATCGTGAAGCGGCATAGCTGCTTTAGCCTAAAGCCTTGAAGCTCTTCTTTAAAGAACCCTTACAGAACCCCCAGAAATCCGAAGCCCTAGACCCTGCAAGAAAAAGATCTACGAGCTTCATTCCTGGTCCGGGATTCCGGGTCAGGGATAGTTCTACAGATTTCTATGTGGCTTTCTTGTCAGTCGTGTCCATGCCATGGCGCCTTTGTGTCATAAAACTAGAAGGGGCATTGCTTTAAGCCATTGTCAATAGCCAATAGCTTCAGATCTTGTGTAACTCTGCATAAACCCGCTTGCAAGAAGTGTGTCTTGAAGGACAGCCCAAGTTCAGATTCACCCCAGAGAGCTCTGTATGAACTAGTAAAGGAATTCTCGCTACCTCTACAGAAAACCGATTACTTCAAGGAATCCTGGGATAAAAGTCTGCAGAATTGTTGAAGAGCCAGGTTTCCATTTTTACGTTACCTTCAAGGGAAGCATTGCTTAGAAGAGGCCAGAGTCTCCACCCCCCCTAAACCATAAGTTATGCAGGGATTCTAATCATGATTTAGGTTGGTTCATCCTCTTCAGCCCGAACTCCAAGCCCCTGGAGCATGTAGCTGCTAAGGTCGAGCTTCTCCATCCAAGCACCGTGGGGGTCCTTGGGGTTTAGGGCTTGAGAGTTGGGCGCTTTGGGTTTAGGGCCTTGCGTCTAGGATTTGAATTTCCATGGCTTGGGCTTAAGGGTTCTGGGGTTTGGGGGTTTCGGAATTAGGTGTCAGAAGACTGGGCTTCTACAGGATGTACATAGGATTTCACACGTTCCCTGTAGCCTTTTCTAGGGTTTCAGCGGAGTTTGATCTCAGGGTTGCCTTTCATGAGCACCGCATTGGTTACGACCCTGAACAAGCGGCAGCATTATTTCAGGAGACACAAAGAGGGGTGGAGAATATTGCGGAGAATTTCACCACTTACTTATACACGTACCGTTGGAGCATTGTATCGCACCGTCTCCATGAGATCGCAGCTCAGCCATACGACGAGTCAGTACTCTGAGACGAGGCAGCAACATTATAACAGGCAGCAGTCACTTGTGGGTCACGTAGCAGTCCTTGGCATCGCAGCTTGCAGCGAGATGCTAGCAGACTTGACCTATGACAAATTTCTCACCCGGACAGTCTAAAACCCTTCCCCCCCCCCCCCAAAAAAAAAAAGCATACAGAGCAAGTCGGATGCTGCCGGGTTCGGGATCTTGTTTCCCTGCGGGTTTCCATACAAGACCCTTCCCAGAATCAGAGCCGAAGCTCAGCAAAAGCCCTAGAGTCCGAGAGCACAGTTGTAATTTTCATTTCGTGTCATAAAAAGTCATAATCTGTACTTACATACACACACAGATACAGAGAGTGTGCGAGAGAGAAAGAAAGAAGCTGAGGCCATTGCAGAGCTTCGGCTCCATTGAGCAGCCTTCGACTCGGGAACCTACTTGGAGGTTCATGGGTAGTTACAAGTGGGGTTATAGGTCCTCTAACATGGGATATAAGTACAGTTACCCTACTTATAACCCTACTTCTAACTACCCATGAACCTCCAAGTAGTCTGCTCGCAGTTCGGGTTGAAGGCTCCGCTAGAGCTCGAGCCGAGTTCTTGTGGAGCAGGTGATCGCCGTGCGAAATCAGAGGTCGTGCGCAGAATCTTTGGCGAAGTCAGTTGAGGTCGGCTCCATGATTCACTCCCAAGGCCCACTACTACACCTGTAGATACCGCGGAGGTTATTTTAGATTTCTGTTTGATAGACTGCAACTGAGCCCCGCGCTAGAATACAGTATCGGCGAGCTTCAGCATCACGGGGGCCTCAAGCCACATTGACCACTCCAGAGCCGCCTGTACCGAAACCCAGGCCCTATCTGCTTTGGTACGACATGCCAACACCTGGTACAAGCATTTGGGCCTCTCGGCTGCAACTATCGATGGTGAGCTTGAGACAGTGGTATGCTGGGACACGGCTGATCCTCAGCAATACTACCCATGGCTATGTTAATCAATGACTCGAAAACCGTCATCCCTAAACAGGCATTGGATGCAGGACTCTTCCTGTGAACACTGGCTTTTGCAACGTCTGAAGAGAGTTCTGGACAAACCTGCCGTCCCAATGGAAAGAATTGGAGGGCTGAGGCACAGTGTGAAGATGGTTGTGAAGAGTTTGGTCGTGTGCACTTCCTCGGTCTCTTGCTGCAAGCCTGGAAGAAGCCCCCGGGAGTTCATGCGGTGAGGAACCCTAAGCCCTACTCCTCAACCCCTTTGAACCCTAAACCCTTTAAAGCCCTTTAAACCCGTTAAAGCCCTTTCGACCATTTCAAGCCCTTTAAACCCTTTAAAGCCCTTTAAACCCTTCAAACCCTTTAAACCCTAAACCCAAACCCTTTAAACCCCTAAACCCTTTAAACCCTAAACCCAAAACCCTTTAAACCCCTAAACCATTTAAACCCTGCAAGGTTTCACTGGGTCTCCGTGTGCCGCGGCGTGCAGCAGCCGGTTTGGAAACGCTCAGGCCGAGAACCCCGGGGTGGTTATAAGGGTTCCTTTAAGGGTCCCTGTAAAGGGATCTATAGGGATTCTAGAAGGGTATAGGGTTTAGGGCCTAGGTCGGTTTTTGCAGTCTCTAGGACAAAGCACTGCAGTAAGAATAACGACAACAATAATAAGAATGTTACTACGAACAAAAGTAAGAATAGTACTAATATTACATAACACTGCAACCTGGTGGGCTCCACAGCTCACGCAGCAGTGCCTCCACGTCCCCAGAACATGTCTAGCTTGACGGCAGCACTAAAAGCACGTAGGATGGATTATATTGCCAAAAGCCTTCACAACACTTCGGCAACTTCGGCTCAACGTGGCTGGCGAAGCGAAACTGCAGAGCCTACTCACGACAGCCCACTTCGTTGTGAAGACAATGTTGGAGCAAACGATGGCTTGCTGTGTCCCGGCGGTGTTGAGGTTGAGGTCGATCCTGCAACTATTCGGTTTACACATCAGTCCATTTCTCCATGTTTTCGGACCGGCGATCGCTTGGATGATGTGATTTCAATTGCACTTGATGAAGACGCCTCTGTTATGGACCTTTCCCTCCAATGGAACTTGTAAGAGTAGGTTCGAAGATCTACAGCATATCCAATCGCCGGCTGTTTGTGTTTCGATGTTTGGTCGCCCGCAACTTTTGCAAAGCGGTGAAAGCAGTGATGTATTCTTGCGGAGATGCACGGCTATTGCGATGTCGCTTTGACCCGGGCCTGGGCCGATGGGCGACCAAAATGGGAGCGGAGCTTTTCCACCCAATGCGACGGGCTCTTCGTCGAGGTGAGCAGCCTTTTCCACAAGGATCACTTCTCCACCCGGCTGAAAACAGCTGAAGAGGACGACGCTCCCTGTATTTTTAACCGTCTAACGCAGTTCGATGCCATCGATCCACGAAGGTCACTGATACAGCACGTTCCGGCTTCTGAATGTGCCGAGCACGCCACTGTCCAGCCGCCGGCCTGGAATTATGGCCTTGTTTCAGACGATGGTGTGCATTTCACGAAGACCGCTAGAGACGGTGTTATGAAGCTGTTCTCTGAGAATACCATACGACAGGGTGGAAGGCATCAGTACAAAGTGTCCCTGCTGTCCGGTGCTTTCGCTGCTACCGATGGGATCGGTTTCGTCTTCAGTGACCGACTCGGCAAAGACATCCAGGGAATCCAGTCAGTCTTTGCGAACAGGCGTGGGTTCCTATGCAAGCGATGGACGAACGGCGCCATCTGGCGCGAGAAAACCAGCTGCTTAGAAATGAGTGTAGGGATGTCTTTTAACATCGACATCGATCTCGATGCAGCGGTCGCGAGACTCGCATACAAGACTCACAACGGCCTGTGCTGGGAGAAGCTTCCCCAATGGGACATTTCTGATGTCCTGCTACCCAGCAGGAGTGGGTATTTCTGCGTGGCTTTCAGCAATGCCGGAGTCACTGTCCAGCTAGAACCTGGCAGCGACTGCTGAATTCAGACTTCTTCGAGTTTCAGAGTTTCAGCAGTCAAACCACGAGGCAAGGGAGCGGGGTTCTGAAGCCGGGGAGGCAAGTCTTGCTCTGCACAGCAATATTGCGACCGAGGCGGAGAGAGAAGATACGCCACTGTTTCTCGATTGCACAAGCCGTTCAGGGTGCCCACAGATGGGTCCACTGCAGCTTCTTGTCGCGATCCATGTTTGCGTGCAAAGCATCGGAATGCATTCTGTGCTAGTCCGCCTTCAGCGCTAGAGTGTAACATTGCTTCACATCAGATGGTATGAAGGCCATACTTTCCCAAAATACTGCCGCATAGCTTCACTCCTCCATGTCTGGTCTTCAATCATCACAACTGCTAAACAAGGGGCCTTCTACAATCCAAGATCATAGTTCCAGAGGCTGCTTTCAGCGGCGCCCAAGGTTCGCGCTGTAGTTTGCATTGGGCCCCTAATATTGGAAAATGGTTCCGGGCCGATGGGTCCCTTTTGCAATCTCCAGCTTTGGAATGCTTAGCCCCAACCCTAGGCTTGCACCCTAAACCTTGACACCGAAACACTGCAAACTCTAAACCCTGCAAAACACCGCAACCTTTAACACGACCTATCAACCCTTAAAGAAAGCCCTGAACACTCAACACTAGTTAGCTCGAAACGCCGTTTGCTTAAACCTCGCAGTAAACCCTTAGCCGGAAACCCGTGTTCAGGGTGTCTTTGCCGGACGGTTTCGAGCATACGGCCCTCGCACGCAATCGCGATGAAATCGACGAGCACAGCTCGAGACTCAGACTCTGGCTGGCTGTGCCTCGCAGGTTGCCAAGGAAAGTCAGATTTACCCTTCGTAGCTCATTAGAGAAAGAATGTAACGAGGTGGAAAACTTCATTTCGCTGTCGTATCAAAATCATGAAACACGTGGCGTCTACCCTTTGTTGGACGTGATTTTTCACCCGACTTCTAGTCGTTCTAGCTTGTAACATCTTGAAACCGGTGTTATGCAGCATATACTTTCTACTATACTATATATCTTACATCCTCATAGAAACACCCCTTGTAGAAGCCCATCAGAAACAAACCCCTTGTAGAAGGGTCCATGGATGAAGCTTTGAGGTGTCACCCTCTGTAACAAAACCCCGAAACCCTTAAACCCTAAGCCCTGAACCCCTAGACCCCCCTGAGGGTCCCTAAGCTTTGAGGTGTCACCTTGGCCTGGCGACCTCTTCAGTTGCCTTCGAGCCCGGCCGGCATCTTCAGCGACTACGAGGCCTCAAAAAGCACGAGGCCTCAAAACATTAGAATAGGGTTTTGCGGCCCATGATACTAATATTATAACAAGGAGCCCTCAAAATAGCAAAAGAGTGCCCTACTTGGAGGTACAAGTGGGGTTCTAAGTCCCCTAATATGGGCTATAAGTATAGATAACTACCTATGAACCTGCAATTAACGGGGATCCTTCAAGGGTTTCTTTGAGGGCTTCTGGTTTCGGGGTTCAGGGCTTTGGGGGTTTGTGGTTTGGGGTTTCAACCTTTAGGGGTTTGGGGTTTCAGGGCTTTGGGTGCAGGGTTCCGATCACACATTTCATGGACGTGGGCTTATTTGACTACTGCCATGGCTGTCGGCGAACGTAGCATTAGTGTAAGAAGAAGCACCAGGACAATGATCCTTTCTAGCATGATGACAATCCATCTGCAACCGCTTCAACGCAAGCCTCAAGTCCTTCCGGGTGCTTTGGCTACTGGGGAGCGATGATGATGATGGTGATGGTGATGATGGTGATGGTACTCGCCCCAGGATTGAACATGTGCTGCAGGCTTGGACGCGTGCTGAAGAGATCGCCGGAGCCCGAGGCATCAAGGATTCGGAGACTATGCCGGACAAGGCATTTATGTAGGGTACTTTGGTCATTGGCGACAGTGCTAACAGCTGGGTTGTCTTTGATTGAAGAACGCAGGGGGGCGGGGGGTACCCAACTGGCCCAGATCCCCATTCCCTCAAGATACCGAGGCTCTGGCCAACGAGGCACCAGCACCTGTGCTGGTCGCGGAGGTGGTGGCTTCCAGCGACTCGGCTTCTTTAAGAACCTGAGGAGCACGAGAAAGATAGTAAAGATAAGGAGAAGTTAGCGGTGCAAGTTTGACTTTCCTCATACTTGTACTCGCGGTGGTGATGACGATGGTGATAACGATCAAGGCAGGTTCGAATGAGACATATATATATACATATGTATATATCAGACGACCAATACGTTGCTCATGCATCATGTGCGCTAACATGCTGTCATGGCGATAGCCAAGCGCAATCTCTCACAAGAGTCTTGATTATGATCATCATCGTCACCATCAGCAAACTTAACAGAGTAATGTAGACAACACAGGGGCGTAGCCGAATCAAACAAATGCTCAATGCTGCTTGTTACATGCTGCGAACAGCACTAGCACGGGCACTCAAGCCAGGCAACAGAAGTACTCAGTCTAGCTTCTCACCTCCTGCGAACCCTAGGTCCTAGTATTATTGTTGCCCGCAGCGTGGTGAAGAGTATCATTACTGTTCTTACTGGTATCCAAGCCACAGTCCCAACACCGTCATGGCGTTCAGATGGCTCTGTGAATGCCACTACCGGTACCACCAGCACAACAACGCCCGACTCTCAGCGGCGCTGTTCTTCTACCCCATCTGGGAAAAGTTCGAAGTTCAGTGGTCAGTTCAGGAAGTGCCAGGCTCTCGTCGATTACGCGATGTCCTAAGATTCCGACTTGCCAGGAACGGGGCTGGCGTCGGTTGTGGCGATTCCGCACGTCAGTCCAGTGAGCGTTCTTCTACAAACTTGGCAGGGCTGCTGAGCGATGCATATATATATATATATATATCATTGAAGGGTAACAGAAGCAATCGGCTCCACGAATCCTGTTCACTTTGATTTAAGCATATCCTACCTGAAAACTCCCCAAACAAGAGTCCCGAAGACCCCCACACCTCGAATCTCTCTGAGGTCGACAGAAATGGATGTGCAGCCCCCAGTGCCATGGTATCCTCCTTGCCTAGCACAGACATCAGGGACGAAACCTTGGAATAGGAAGCATATTGCGAGCACCTGAGAGGGCATCACTAAACCATTCTTGAGGTTATCCGTGAAATATCCTGATTCCTGAAATGCTACACCCCAGACCCTAGGCCATAAGAAGCTCTTCTCTGTTGATTCTGAAAACAGTCCGGTGAATCCTCCGGAATCCGTTGATGAGGACTCTGTCGGGGTTGTATAAGCTGTCACTTCGAGATTCTTCAAAGGGTTTCTCTAACTCTCTCTACCTCTCTCCTAAGCCCTACACCCTACACCGTTTCTCTGACTCTCTGACTCTCTCTCTCTCTCTCCCCTACACCCTAGCCCTTATAAGCCCTAAACAGAAACCACAGCTCTATAATCCTAAACTCCTAAACCCTCACCGATCCTTCTCTCTCCCTCTTTCTCTCCTTCTCCTTCTCTCTTGGGCACTTCGGCCGAGGCTGAGTTGCCTCTTCTTTGCAAGATGAGATAAAGAACTGCCAGCACATGGACCGAGGGACGAAGTCAAGCGGATTCGTTGTCTTTTTTTGGATCAGTGCAAGATAGGTTTCCTGCAACGACGACAAAGCTCCCAGATAAGCTCACAAAGCGCGCAGACTCCCAGGAAATGCCGGTACCACAGGCCTGCTGCTTCTGGCCGCATGATATTTCAGTTGCCGTTTCTTTCAAGGTGACCTGCAATCCCAAGCTACACTCCAACACACCCCAAACCCCAAAAGCCGTAAGCCCTAAGCCCTCGCAAGGGCCGGAACTGGGTGAATCTGGGCCAGCGCAACGAGGCGCTCTCCTAATACTTCCCAGCGCTCGCTCCTATAGCCTTGGGTGCTGCTTCTGCTCTGTTTCCAAGTCCACCGTGCCCTGAGCTTGTAGTGCACGGCTGCAGACAGGTCGACGCAACTACGATCTACGATGCATATGTGTACAGATGTAGGTAGGAGTGCAAAAAGGCGCCTTGAAGCCCATCCAAAAATGCGGCCCCAGACCGGAGCCTCGAAGCTCGTGTCAACCCTCGGAGCCTTTGCAGTCCTTGGCCAGGTGCAGATGCGGCTGATCTCTTCCCGGACTTTCCCCGCTTGTGCACCTCGGCTCGTAAAGCTATAGTCGTAGATACTAGTTTTGTACTAGTACTCGCGGTAAAGTCGTGGTCGAGTCGTCGTGGTGGTGGTGGTGGTGGTGTAATGGTAGTAGAAATAGCAACGGCTACGACTGTTACCACGACAACTGTCAAGCGTCATCTTCTTGACCAGTCCACAGACGATTCTCGCCATCATGGCGCGGAGTCTTGGAGGCTGGAGGCTTCGACGACGTCCTTCCCGTCATGTGCATGTCCGGGACGTTGACACAGCATGGTTAAAGATTAAGGAACCACAACAGGTGCCCCCTTTTCCCACATCTTAATCTCAGGCCCACAAGCAGGGTTTGTTAGATGGCCGCATCTTGCACCCGAAAGTTGCACTCTAGAACACAGCCCACAACGTGAGCCCGGAACAGAAGCCATCACTTCGGTGAAATGGGCAGCTCGTTTCGATTAAGGAGCTGTTGCTGCGCTTTCCGGTGCAGCTGCCCGGACCTTTCACGGTGCGTTCCACGATCGATGTTTTGAGCTACGGGGTTGGGCAGTAGGGGAATGCTGCACTCTCCTGATTGTCAAACGTTTCCTTATCATCCGGTTCGAAGACCTCATTGAGCATAAGAACCTTCAACCTCAAGTATCCCTACTCTCAAGACCCCATCAACAGCACAAAGCTTGACGAACGGACTATAGAAGACTACCCACATCAGCTCGGGTGCAGGTTCAGAGGCCCCAAGCCCTTAGGCCAAAACCGGCAAAATCCAGTCCAGTACTGGATCGTCATACTACCCTTACTCTACGTACCAGAAATCTGTTGGCGCTGGCTGCTCGCACTCCGGTCCGCATTCGTCTGCAGATCATAGACCGTTAAACCGTAAGCCCGAAATCGCATACACCTTAAAGTCATATGCTTGTAGTAGAGTTCATCCCAAAACCCTTCCTCCGCTCATGAGCTCCCTAATATCATCTCACTCCCCAAGCTCGCCATCCCTTTGCAAAAGGAGCGTTGATTTGCGCCTCTGCCCTTCCGAGGCCCAGCAGGAAGCCGAGGCTGAACCTTTGGTACGTCACTTTGGCAGACCTGGCACAGATTTTGGGGTCGATGGGGAGGGTGGCGAATGGTAGTAACAGTAGTTATAATTGCATTCCTCCATCCCCTACTAACCAAAGGGGGGGCAGTTCGAGGTCTTTTTTGGTTTAGTTTTGGCTGGCTTAAGTGTTTTACGGTCTCGTAGCCTTCCTGAGGGCTCGAGGACAACGGAGTCTTCAACCGGGGGAGGGAGGGGAATGTCGGTGACGAGGGACGTAGCATTGGCCCACACTGCGCAACATAGCATATCGTGCGTCCGATAACTCAGTACAAATGGATCGCGTGCCATGCGACTGCAGCGCTTTACAGCATCCATGACCTTCGATTTCCACGGTTCCAGGACCTTCAACCTGCACTATCCTGCACTCATTTACAGTTACATGCACCTTTCACACACACACACACATGCACACACAAGTGCACCGCACCCACATATGCAGCTACGCATGCACTCCTCCCTATGCTCCGCATCCATATTTGGACCGGTTCTGTAACTGGGACTTGTTCCCAAAACGATTTCAGGGTTGCAGGATATGCGCTGAGTAGTCCAGGGCTCATAAGCTGTACAGGTTTCGGTAGTTAAGTCCGATATCTAATTGTTGAGAAGCTGCAAATCATCCCGATCCTGCTACAGAGGATCCGACGTCCCAAGAGAAGTGACCACCGAATTTCTTCCCACAGAAAGTTGTCTCCGGTAGATCTCTTCACTCTACATGGCATCTGTCCCGCGAAGCTCCGATGTGAGCTTGCATGTTACTATGTTCGGCGGGGGCGTCATGCATCCGTCCCCAGTATCCCTTGTGGCTCTTCTACTGCGCTGTGGCAGGCGTTTGCTGCCAACACGTCCGGTGACGAGCCCAGTCCGGGCTTCGATGTCACTTCCGTCCGTCGCATGTCCTTGAAAACCGAGTGTTCTAAGCCTCGTGTCTTTGCCCCAAACAACGAGGCAGAGGATATCTGAAGCACCGACAATCTTGGCAATCCTTTACGTCCAGTACCAACAAAGTCGTTTCATCGGTCCGTCCCTGCTTCTAACCGGATGGGAAGATCCCTCATCGTATGTATTGATCGCATTTTCCACCAGTGCTTAGTGATGTGATTTCACTATGCTCCAGGTGAGCTCAACCTTTTCGCAGCTTCGGTTCTCAGGATTTAGGTAATGTGAAGGGTTTATGATTTCAGGAGGTCCACAGTACCCCGGGCCCGAAAATTACAAGGTCCCGTACGGGTAATACAGGGGTCGGTATTTGTGAATTTAGTTGCAGTGTAGTTCAACACCCAAAACCCTGTTCCAATGAGTCAATGAGTGCGGCCATCACTTGTCTTCGGCGAGGATAGCTTCCCTATTCCATGGTTTCTGAAACTGGAGGCTGAAGAGAAGTCCCAGAAGTTCTGTCCTTTCACCCTCATAAAGTAATTGGGGTGGTACATTATGGTGTAACTATGTTGAGGAACCCTGAACACTAATCACTGTTGTTTAGGGCCCTAGATATTATATCCAACCTTGAAGCCCAACCCACATCCGCCCGCGCTGCGAGGCCGGTACGACGGGGACGTCCGATTTGTGCCTCGGATCTGCTATATATAGATACATATGACTTATATAGGTTCGGGGTTGAAGAGCGAGGTCGTTCCTGGCTTCGACTTCTTCCAGCAGCCTCCTTCAGCAGCGGTGGAACATGCGTGGCCTGGCGGATGTCGGAGTTTCGGAACAGTAGGGGCCTTAAAAATTAGAATAGGTTTCCGCTAACGTGGTGGGGCCTTAATAAGTATCTATACTATTTTGGTGGTTCCTGATTATAAAAATGAAAATAATAGGCCCCAAAGCCCTATTCTAATTATTATGGTTCCTACATCAGAGTGTGGGGAGTGGGATTCGACTCAGGCGTTTAGGATTCATGGCTTGAGGCCCGAAATAGCCGGATCCTGATGGCACAGGTGTTGACAAGGATACGTGGTGTTTCGACAACTTTCAGCTTGTGTGTGGGGTCAGGGCTACTGCACACCCAAGGTTATCAACGCTTTTGTCTTCCTTAACGCTTAACGTTACGGCCTGGTGGTGTGCGTTTGCACGGATGGCTGCTGTCAGTGTTGTACAGGTTTGAGCTCACTCCCCATGTTGCTCAAGGCCTGTGCTGCAGAAGCAACCGTGAGTGGACTGCCTATTAAGAACCCGACAATCTCCGGACTGCTGAGGAATTGTGTGCCCGAGGCGTCTAGCGAAGAATGAGTGCAATGTATCCGGATATGGGCCTTTGATTTGTAGGATCGTGACTATGAACCTGTCTCAGAATGGAGGATGTTGTTTGTGTGTATCAGATGCGTTCATGTTTTCTGTATATCCATCATTGTTTGAAAACAGTAAGCCTAAGTCTGCGAGCCAGGCAGCACGTTTTCGATTACGCTGGCTACGACTACTTCCAGTTCTCGACACAGCATGTTGGCCAGCCCCTCAAAGTGACCTGCAGCAGCCTTAGTGCTTGGTGCTTATATGCGTGGTTTTGACTTACAACATGGTGGTCGGTGGTCTCCAGATTTCGAGAATTCGGAAGTGCCGAAGATGGGTTTCAAGACAGATCAAAGACCCCACTGCAACCGAGTGCTCACGGCATCTTTGAACAGTTCTGGGATTACTTGGATATATTCTTTTTCAGGGTTCCTGATTATATCTACAGTAGAATCTACTCCCCAAATCCCATTCGAATGATATTCGGCGCCCTCGATGTTACGGCACCGCGCCTCCCTGGCGAAGTGCCACTCAGACGACGTGCCCAGAGCCCAAGGCAGATCCGTAAGATACCGGAAGCTTACGCATTGAAAGGGTCCCGATGGCTTGTGAGATGTGGGGTGCTTTGGGCATTTCGACCCCCTGATGTTTTGAGCAAGCTGCTTCTGCTCCCAGGCTCTGGTCAGCTTCCGAAGTACGACGTTCCGCTGGCTTTGCCCGAAGCTTACGCTACGAAGGAGTCTGAAGCCAGGAAGGAGTCTCGACGTCTCGCAGCTGGGATTGTTTCAAAAACGGCTAACGGAAGGGACAAGAGGGCCAGTATCCTTTGGTTACTCTGGGGGTTAAGGGGTTGCTGCCACTTCCTCAGGTTCTGCCTGGCCTTCGCTCTACATCTGTGAGGCCACTGCCAACCGTAGACCGATAGGCCGCGAGGTTCTGAAGCGACTCATGGACGGTGTTCCGACCTTAGAATAGAAGCCAACAAGTTGGAGCATCATTAGCCTCATGCCCTTAAAGTAAAGCATAGGGGGAATCCCAGCATGAATCATCCTAAATCTATGTTCCAACTTTCTGGGGATCACTATAAGGGCCTAGACATCTTGGGTCCGCCTAAACTTCGGTACAAAAAAGGCAGGTTTTGAAGCATTTCAACAGCTTATACCAGTCGGAGTAAAGCAGGAATAGCCTTGGGAGTCGGAGTAAAGCAATCGTTGTAGTCGTCGTCGTAGCAGTAGTAGCAGTAGTAGTAGCTCAAGCCCATCGAAAGACTTTAGAGCATTTAGAGTGCGGCACCCAAGCCTTAAAGCCTTAAACCCAAGCCAAACCGGAGGTGATAATGCGGTGCGAACAGTGCCCAAAGTCACGGACACACCGGCGCGCGGGCGATCAAGGCCGGACATCAAAGTTTAAAGATTCTTTCCCATGCCAGCCCCATGTGCATCAAGGGCAAATGGGCTCGCTGCAAGGTACGCCTGGTTCCAGTCTGACTTCTGGCAGAGGCTCGGCCGACTTTCCTCAAGTTTTGGACTTCCTACTTCGACGATCTTCTGTAATTACCTTCTAGCAGCTAGCCAAAATTATGGATTCATAAAGCCACTAGATGCTGGAGGGCTTGAGGTTCAGGCACCAAACCCGAAGCTGTCTCTTCGTCGGGACTAAGCCTTTGGGGTTGAGGGATGCGCGCCTCATGCCGTTTGGGCCTCTTCACGTAAAATAGGGGCCCAAGATAATTACCAATAGTGTTGCGGGGGGGGGTCCTTATTTTAGGTTTATAGTATAATGGGTCCCAAAACCCCATTCTAATTATTAAGGCCCCTACCATACTAATCCGGAGTCTTTGATGTAAAGGATTTCTGGCTTCGGGTCCCTGCCTCAAGTTCTTTGATCGGTACCTGGCGACATCCCTCTGAGGACCGCCTGCGCAACCTTCTGGAGAAGCTGAGCCCTGGTGTGCTGGAGGCCCTGCTTCCTCCGGTGCTTCGAAGTGACCGGCTGGGCTTTTGGGGTCAAGTCGGTTGTGAGCGCTGTTGTATTTTGGCGCTTTAGGCGACTGAGCCGTTGAAAGGCTCAAGGTCGGCAGACGCTTCAAGCGATTGTGATTTGCAGCCAGGAAGCGGGCATCTCAAATCCTCAGCCCCGAAACCTCAAACCGTAGATTCGCAAATCCTCCACTGCGAAGCCCGTCAAGACCCCGAAGCCTTGATCCCAGGCGCCTGGCGACCCTGTGAGCCGCCACCCGAGAGCAGCAGTTCCCCCGCGGACTCGAAGACGTGGCGAATGTCGACGGCACCAGCGCTCGGTTTCTGTGACGTCCCAGTCCCAGCATCCCCGCGGATTTGAGAAGGAGCGGCCTGTAGAGAGGACGCTCAGGCTCACAGAGAGCCGCGAAGGCCTTGCCTCTTGCTGCCCATGCTTGTCGACCACACGGCGATGATGACATCCATGGGCAAGCTTCAGCAAGATCTTCCATGCACGTGAGCTGCCCAAGCAATGGGAGACACTCGCCGCAGCTTTCGTAGAGGAGAGAAGGGCCCGAATGAGGGTTCAGGGCTTCGGGGCCTTTGGTTTTTGCAGGTGTAAGTGGGTTTGAGGTTTTTAGGTGCTCTACTTCTATGAACGGAAACCTCTTCCAGCCTCCCAAAAGGAGTTCATGCGACCTAGACAAAGTCCCAGAGCTTCTCCAAGACTTTTTGCAGAGCTCTTTGTCCTTGGTGGAAATCCTCATTACTGAGATCTTTCCAAGCCTCAGACCTATTGGAAAGGAGCTTACTCTACTCCTAGAAGTTTCCACATGAATCTTACGAAGGAATTTGTTCTACCTGCATGCGGCCCAGAGACGCTGTATATGAAAGGGTCGAGACAGCTGAAAGCCGTCCCGACACCATTAGTCTGCCTCGTTCCGGCACATACCGTTGCCGGCCAGGGTTCGCAAACTTGAAAGCACTCGAACATCCCGCCCGCCATCTCCAGATTCTGACCCAGAAGCAGCAGGTTCAAGCGACCCCACTCCGTGCTGCCGGGGCGGAAGCAATCCGACCCAGCTAGCCCGGAGAGCAAACAAGCACGGCGCTGTCAGATTTAGAAGTTAGGGTTTCGGTTAGCGTTTAGAGTTGAGAGTTTAGGAGGTTTCGAATTTCAGATGCAAAAGATGGGCTTTCAGAGTTTGTGATAGAGCTCTTGCAACTTCAACATAAAGCCCTAAACCATAACAACGAGGCACCCAAGACTATAAGATGCAGCAAAGTCTTGTCTTACGCGTATCAAAGCTGCTGTCCCCACCCTGTTTGTGGTATGAGTTGATTGGTTTGAGGTCCTTGGGCTAACTCTGGCTTCAATGACGCAAGTAGTCTCCACGGCCAAGGCTAGAGGCTGCAGGTTCCCAAACCCTGAGCATCAATCCCAAGTGTTTTATACCGGTGTTGATCACGCTCAATATGCAATCATGCACATATGCATCTATCTACACCCTTCGATCCCTGCGCCATGGAACGCACATGAAGCACGACTTTCGATTCCGGGATACCCTTGCTGCCTCTTGCCCGCCGTGCCGCAGTGCAGGTTTTTGTCTCCTCAGGAGGAGACTCGCTTTTCCTGGATCCCTCCCCCCGGCCTTTTTCATTCGGCCGTGGCAAATCTGCGCGGAAGGCCAGGGCACAACCATTTCAGTTGGACTGTTCTTGGGAGTCCGGTTCTGATCTTCTCGTACAACAGCCGAAATTGGAATCTACTTTTCAGCGTCGAAACAGGGTTGCTCATGGTTGTTTGCGATATCTGGAAGCTGCACCTGTGCTGGGCCCTAAGGCGTTGTATGATTCTTTTTCAAGCTCGGAACCCCACGACTCTAAGCTTCCCAATCCTCCACATCCCGACGCCTAAAACCCTCTCTCCATCCACAGACCAGAACCAACAAAGAGAACGATTTGCACCTTCGGGCTTCGGTTTTCGGAGGTGTTAGGTATGACGGGCTGAACTTTTTGCTGTCGCGGCTTCAGAGCATGTTCGCAAGCTAATAAGGCGTGACCAGTACCAGAATAAAGAAGAACACGACATCAAATACAACAACAGCACTTCTCCTGGCCCTGATTAAGACGTGTCAATCCTTGCAGGAACACGTTCTGAGCCATAAGGCGACGCGCCAGGCCCTGGAGAGCATCGGTTAGGGGCCCGGTGAGCAGGGCTTGAATGCTGGTCTTGAGCCTAGCTGGGTAGCAGACGTGAAGCTGAAAGATTGCAGCAATCCGCCGACTGGGTATCCATCTTCTCCAGCTTGTAGGCTGCAAACCTGTGCAGAGTTTCAGATGAAGCGTCTGAAGACGCTGCATAAGGACAGGGCCTGCTGGTTTCATGGTACATAAGTCACAGGGCAGGGGCGAGTTTTGTTTTCAAGATCGATTTAGGGTCGATTAGGTCAGCTCTTCCTATGCCTATAGATTTATAGCATAATGTACCCTACGACCCCATTCGGATCAGTGCTGCCCTTGAATTTTGTATAATACAGAAGCTCTAAACAACCCGACTCCAGGCAAGGCTGCCTTGCAGCACGGTCTGCTGGGCCGTAGGCTCGCCCAGGTCTCAGTATTCTGTCAGGTCGAAACAAAGCGTGGTTTCAACAGATGCCCTTCGACCGAAAAGCCATGATGTACTGAATCGTACTAGACCATTCGCTTCGGCAATGACTTAGAAAGCCAGAATGTAAGATTTGTGAGGGTAGCTTGCCGCTTGCATTGATGCGCCCACCTGGTTTGAACGATCCGAGGCCGATGAGTTCGGGAACCTGCTGCGTCCGTCTTCCAGAAGGATGCAAGGGCCCTAAGTTGTGTGTAGTGCCGTACCTTGGGGCCAGGCTGAGGAGTCCGGAGTGGATCCTATCATCCTACTAGTCAGCGTGGGGGGCAATTGTCGGCATTGTGCAGGTGCGTGACGTTTATTCCTCAGTACTGCTTGTCATGAGCAGCTCCATTCTCCAACTTCGCAATTCGCACCCCGTTGGCACGTGAGCTAATACCACAAGTGTGTAGTGGCCCAGCGCCTGGGCCTTTTGAAATTTGTGCGGTCTCCGCCGTTTCCTGCACGCCTGCCACAGGCAAGCGATCAAGAGTGCTTGGTGTCCACAAGATGGATCCATATCAGCCGTTGGGGAAAAAGGTTTGAGCAAATTGACAACTTCAATTCTTGAAGATGGCAGAGCAAAGTAGCAGCCTGCTTTGTGATCCTATGTGATGAGTCGCAGTCTGCGGCTCCCAAACATGGCCGCATGGTTTCAAGTTTTATGGTTCTGAGCACGCCGAAGTAGTTGCACATCAGCTTCGTCTCCCCGCCTATGCTGCGACTTTGTGCCCTGCTGCTGGCGCCCCTTGGCGCTGCCGGCGCCTGGCAATGGACCGTGCAGCACGGAGGTTCCAGGGTCGTTCCTTAAAGTTTGGTCTAAGTTTCTATGGAGCAGACCGCAGAGCACCGACCGGACCCCAGCCCTCCGCCCAGGCTCCGACAGTGACTACTTCCGAGCCCTGCAGGCCGGGAGCGGGGGCAGCGGGTTGCGCGGCGCCGTTTGCAGAGAGTTCGGAGCTCGAGGAGTATAAGGTGAACACCCGCTCCAAGCGTCAGGCTTTCTTGCAGGTTCCAGGTGGAAGGTTTGGAAGTTTTTGCGCGATGAATTCGATGCTCCAGGCAAGGGCCGGTGACGGGGCTTGCAATGGCTCCCCACTGCAGGTCCACCCGAACGGCAACATCACTGCCGCGGGCTACACGTATTCCTCGCTGGATGGCTACACCAATGCCGGTTCCAGCGATGCTTTTCTCATGAGCTTCGACAGCACCGGCGCCTGGCAATGGACCGTGCAGCGCGGAGGCTCCAAGTTTGGTCTGAGTTTCTATGGAGCCTGCAGCGCTCGGACCCCAGCCCTCCGCCCAGGCTCCGGCACGGACTACGCCAATGCCCTGCAGGCCGGGAGCGGGGGCAGCGGTTGCGCGGCGCCGTTTGCAGAGAGTTCGGAGCTCGAGGAGTAGGTGAACACCCGCTCCAAGCGTCAGGCTTTCTTGCAGGTTCCAGGTGGAAGGTTTGGATTTTTTTGCGCGATGAATTCGATGCTCCAGGCAAGGGCCGGTGACGGGGCTTGCAATGGCTCCCCACTGCAGGTCCACCCGAACGGCAGCCTCATTGTCGCGGGCTACACGTATTCCTCGCTGGATGGCAACACCCATGCCGGTTCCCGCGATGCTTTTCTCATGAGCTTCGACAGCACCGGCGCCTGGCAATGGACCGTGCAGCGCGGAGGCTCCAGGGTCGTTCCTCCAAGTTTGGTCTGAGTTTCTATGGAGCCTGCAGCGCCCGGACCCCAGCCCTCCGCCCAGG